GATAAATCATAAATCATAAGATACAATCATAAATCATAAGATACAACCAACAAGTGATAATCATAAGATGCCAGTAAGAGTAGGTAATAGGAAAGATGAGAATATGAGGACAATGAAATATTCAGAGATCCCCATTTTTCTAAACACATTTCACAGCTTGTTATGATCAACACAATCAAAAGCCTTTTTTATCATCTTCATAATGCTTCATCATGACATTTTTGGGTATTCTTTGCCCTTCTCAGTTATCCAGTGTGTATCAACAATAATTTAGAAGTTAAACTTAAATTGTTCAGATTTGAGTTATTGTTTATAGTGAGCTTATATTAGAAAATCTTTCTATTTTCCAAAATTGCTCTTTGCTTGCTTTACGGATTCTGAATCAGAATCAGAATAGAGCTAGAAGGGACCTTGGAGGTCTTCTAGTCCAATCTTCTAGTCCAGTCCTTTAACGATTGTGGCAAGAAAGGTCGTGAAATTGGGCAAAGCTCACTTAACAATTGTCTCACTTAGCGACGGCAATGTTGGGCACAAGTGTGGTTGTAAGTTCAGGATTACCTGTATTGAGGTATCCTTCCCATGCATCTGCCCAAGACCTTTTTAAGTCAGCACATTCCCATCACACCTTCAATCAAACCATTGAAATTAACCCCCCCCCCCCTCTTACTGCCAAGCCAGGCTTGGACTATCTTTTCCAGAGATCTACATTGTTGACACATAAAAGGCTTTGAAATCTGGCTGAAAACTATCCAGGCAGCTGACCCCAAGCTGTCTGGTCAACCCCAAGGAAAAGAACCCCAAGGAAACGAATCTATTGACCTCTTGGCTTGAGACACGTACATTTTGGGAAACAAGCTCTGGAAGAGACAAATCTGGAGGAGATGGGAAGAGCCCGTGTGTTGCACATGGCCTAAGAAAGTTTGTTCTCCTAGGACAGGGGTCCCCAACCCCCAGTCCTGGACCTGTACTGGGCCGTGGCATGTCAGCAACCAGTCCGCACAAACAAGCAAAGTCCCATCCAAGGGGTGCAGGCAGCACACAAAAACATGCACCCTCCGATCTGCAGAAAAACCTCTCTCCACAGAACCGGTCTCTAGTGCCCAAAAGGTTGGGGACCTCTGTCCTAGGAGAGTCTGGACGGACAGAGAGAGATCCACCTTCCAGCTTCCCATCCTTGCCCATCTCTCATCCCCTGGGGCTTCAAAACGAAGGCACTCTAGTTTTGTGTGTTTGCATGTGTGTGTGTCTTTTATTGCTTATTTTTATGTTCTTTTTATTTTTACTTCTCTATTAACAAGATACTTGTTTAATGTAATTATTCCCTCCTGCCTAGCATGGAAAAATTCTGTTAACTTCACGTTAGCTAGACAAAGCTTGCTCTCCACTCATCTGTCAGATTTTTGGCTTAACTAATTATATAGAGACAATAGACTTGCCCGTTGCTGTCTCTTCTGTTGCCTTTGACCCTTCTGTTCTTTATGAGATCTCCGGCCTCAAAATTGCTGAATAGCTGCAGGCATGTTTCTGGAAGTCTGAATGTTCCTTTCAGACCATGAAGGCATCTGTCTTCCATCACAGAAATATACTACAGTTGCTTTTTCGAAAAATAGCAATTCCACTCTTTCCAGTGAACCTGAGCTTTCACTTTTCCTGAAACACCTGCTAAAAAGCTCTAATACCAGAGTGTCTCCTTTTAAACTTTTTCCGGTTTTCCTGGCATCTTTTAGCATGACGAAGGATCAATGAGCAGTTGGGCTAGACATGGTCTTCATGACATGCATAGCTGTGATAATCTTGGACATTCTGTTGCAATATAACAGTGGAACAAGACTAAATCAAAATGGGCAATACAAGGACTGGAATACTTTGAGGAAGCTTGTAAGACAATTGAAATAAACCAGTGGAAGAGAAGTGAACTAAATGATTGAAATTGGATGTGTATGTTGTATAGACAAACCACAGGGGAAACATACATCTGGGCTTGCTTGGAATGTAATCAGAAGCTTGAAGGGCTTCCATTTAGCAAATGAATGGATGTATTGGCGCCAGACCATTGATTTAAAACGTGCCAATCTTGAGACACGTTTATGCTCGAGGCAATGCATTTATGTGCTCACAAAGAAGAGATGGGTAAATCTGTATCACAGATTGTACTGCTCCAAATAACAAATAGGGATTGTTTAATTTTTTTTAAAGGTCAATAAAAAGCATAACTAGTCATGGATAATTTATTCTGTCATGTGGTTTTCTACATGCCGGGCTGCAACTCGGATATAGGCTGAAATAGTGTACCAGGAAAGATCTCTTTGGACAGATGAGGTCAAGGAGCAGACTGGTTGAGTAGGTTGAGAGGTGAGCTGGCAAACAAGTAGAGGGGGTTGAATTCAGTGCGGTCTTTTGGGGTGGTTGTGGTAGAGCAGAAAGGGAGAGAGAGAGAGAGAGAAAAAAAAAATAAGCTCCATTCGCTTTTATAGTTAGAGTGGAAGAGGAAAACTGAATGGGACAAGTCAGATGTCTCATCTGTGCTAATAATTCTCTCCTCTCCTGCCATTCCTTCCTGTTTACTTTAATTTGCTTACGTAAAGCAAATTACGTTTGGACTGAATGAACAGCATGAAGCACAGTGTACAGATCATGGAAAGGTCATCGTGGGAGGATGAGAGAGAGAAACCAGGGCCAGCTGATGAGTTGGAAAGCTCTACTAAGCTGAATTAAAGGCTGTCTCCTTTTTAAAATTGGCTATAAAATGAACAGTTCCTAAGCTCCCTGAAACTTGGTAGGTCCAGTGATCTGGCCAACAATGAGAGGAGCAAATGTATGTCCCTTAGAACAGGGGTCCCCAACCCCCGGTCTGTGGACCAGTACAGGGCTGTGGAATGCCAGCAATCAGTCCACACAAACAAGCAAAGCCCCATCCAAGAGATGCAGGCAGCACACAAAACCACACACCCTCCGGTCCACGGAAAAATCTCTCTCCACAAAACCAGTCCCTGGTATCCAAAAGACTGGGGACCTCTGCCTTAGAAACAGACAGCAGGAGCTGATTAGAACTCAACTTAAATCAGGAGGGGTGAGAGAGGAATGAATTGGAGCAATAATTAATGGAAAATGAAGCCAAAAGGAAGAAACATTGGGCATGAACTAAAAAGAAGCAGGTGAAAATAAAACTTACTGCGATAAACATCCCCAACTTGGTGTCTTTTAGATGTGTTGATAAAACCCATCCTCTGCAACCAGCGCTAAGGATGACGGGAATGTCAATTGGCTTTATTTGAAAGGCCCTTTGTGTTGGGGAATACCTGTGTGTTGTGCACAATGTAATATGAAGTTGCTGCTTTAGATGTGTTGCCCTAGTGGCTTGGAGCAAATAATGGATATGTCTAACTTCATCTAAAGGATCTCTTGAATTCTTAGAAGAATGTCAAAAGTGAGATTATATAAACCTCACTGTAAAACGAGAGAGGGCCACAAGAGCTGAACATGGATTAAACCCAAGACTTTCATGGTCCTTGAGAATATTACATTCTTATCAGCAGAATACTTCTTGGTACAAAAGCTAGAAGCGATAAAAGGTTTTGGGTGTTATTGTCAGAATGCAAGTTTGGGGGGAAAAACCACAAGGTGAAACTCAGTCCTCTTTCCTCTGTTGCTTTGCTCCTATGTTCTATTATAATTGCTTCAGTTAGAAATTTAGGACCAGGTCACATAAGGAGGTAAAGTAGGTACAGTAGTCCTCGACTTAAGACCACAATGGAAAATTTATGTTGCTAAGTGAGACATCTGTTAAGTGAGTTTTGCCCTATTTTACTACTTTTCTTTGCCAACGTTGTTAAGTGAATCACTGCAATTGTTAAGTTAGTAACACGGTTGTTACGTGAATCTGGCTTCCCCATTGACCTGGCTCATCAGAAAATTTAAAAAAGTGATCATGTGACCCCTGGACTGTGTAGTCATCATAAATATGAGTCAGTTGCCCAGCATCTGAGATTTGACCATGGGGATGCCGCAATGTTCGTAAGTGTGAAAAACGGTCATGTCACTTTTTCCAATGCCATTGTAACTTTGAACAATCACTAACTCAGGGGTAGGCAACCTTGGCTCTTTTATGACTCGTGGACATCAACTCCCAGAATTCCTGAGCCAGCCACGCTGAGGGGAAAGGGAGGTTTCCAAGCTGAGCCATGCTGGCTTAGGAATTCTAGGAGTTGAAGTCCACGAGTCATAAAAGAGCCAAGGTTGCCTATCCCTGCACTAAATGAACTGTCATAAGTTGAGGACTGCCTGAATCTAAAGAGTGGTTCTCAACGTTTGTGTGATGGCGACCCCCATCACACAAACGTTATGCGCATGCGCGGTGGCGCACGCATGGGGGCACCGCCCCCATGCGCGGTGCGCACACGCAGGGGGGGCATGCGCGGCGTGCATGCGCGGCGACGCCCCGAGGGGAGAAAATGGCAGATCGCCGCCTTTGGCGACCCCCGAAAAATGGTCGATCGACCCCAAATGGGGTCGCGACCCATAGGTTGAGAACCGCTGATCTAAAGTCAATACTTTAAAAACCATCTGGATTGATCTTTTTTTTTTTTTAATTTTACAAGCCAGTTCAAATATAATGCTAGGAGATATTTCAGTGTTTTGGGTTTCAAACATACCTTGGTTTACTGGACCATTGACAGGAAATCATGAGAAGAAAACAGAGAACAGAAGAACCTCCAGACCTCTTAATCATGTAAAAAAAAAAATCCTGACAAACATTACCTCTTCTTGTTTTCTGTTTCCCCCTTCTATAGAAACAGGGGGAAATAAAAAACTTCATTTCAAGAGAGAAAGAAAAAAAGGTCATGAGGAACAGGGAGAAGATGCTGTTGTAAAGACACTTCCCTCTTAGATTGCATTATTTAATTTTAAAAGATGAAAAAAATTCAAAGATTTAGATTAAACCTGTAGCAATTGTCCAGAGAAGTACATAAATTATCTGCCTTTTCATTCTCACTTTCCAGATTCCACAATGAATGCAGCACGGAGGTCAGCTAGGATAGATTCAGAAGTGACAGAATCCCAACTGGAACCCTCCATCAATGCCACCGAGAGGCCCACCAAGGCGAATGTTTTTTCAGACATGAAAGATAAATTCATGAACAAATTCGGGAAACTGCCAAGTAGGTGGAATTAGGCTGTTTCCAATCTCAGATTTCAAACTGGAGGGTGGATCAACTGAAACTATCAAGGCTGATTTATTTGAATCAAATGACCCAGGATTTCTCAATATTTTATTTTACATAGTCTTATTTTTTATGCTGATTATTTGTAAGGCTATCTTTTGTAATTCCACAAAAGTTCTTTCATGGGCCACCAAAGTTAAGTAAACTACAGGCTGTGCAGTTGTTACAATATCACTTTTCACTCTCTTTTTCTTTCTTTTCTTTCTTTCTTTCTTTTTCTTTCTTCTTTTTTTCTTTCCTTTCTTCCACCCACCTTCCTTCCTCCCTCTCTCCCTCTCTTTCTTTCTTTCTTTTTCTTTCTTTTCTTTCTTTCTTCCTCTCCCTCTCCCCCCCCTCTCTCTTTCCTTTTCCCATCTAGGTCAATGATTCTGGGTGGCTTACAATTCAAGCACTGCACATTTTTCATGAAACATGGTTAGAAAAAGCACAGGCTATGACCAATTAAATGTTATAGGACAGTACCAAGTGGCTTGCATGCCTTGTTCAGGCTCCTACGTGACACTTCTTAAATACTCCATTTCCACTGCACATAACATATGATTATGTTTCTTCCAATATACCCCTCTCTTTTCCTTACAACAAAGAACTTCTTTTGTCAAAAAAAAAAAAATCATTCTTTGTGGGAGACCAACCTCTATCCATTAACTTTCAGTCATCATTTTCACATCTTAACATTTCTCATCCATCTTCCTATGATTAATACAGTCACCAAAATACAACACTTCATTTACTTGCTGTAACTTTTTACCATTTAAATATAACTTGCAATGGTTCACTCCATTTCCCTGTTAAACAGAATGATCTTGGTGTTCAATACTTCTAGCCACATCATATAGCTAATATTTGCTATAGATTCATTTGATTTCTCAATCAACAAGAAGATATTGGTGCATAAAATGTGGGATTACTTCCATAAATGTTTAATAATTTCTCCCTTCTGCCACATTAAGAACTATAATTTCATAATAAATTTATTATTGATTATAACAGTTAGTCACGCAGTCAGCTAGATGTTTACACTGACATCTAAAATAAATAGATTATCGTTATTATACATACAACTTTGTGAAGTCACAGCTGCCAGTTCTTGAGCTTGTGTTTGCCTCAGTACTAATCCATACATTAACCAGGTCTGACCCTATTAAGATCAACCTGACATCAGCCAAAGTCCATTAGATATTCCTAGTGATAATTAGGAAAAGTCATATTTAACTAGTAAGTAATATAACACGAGGCAATCTCTTTGCTCCAGAATCTTCCACTACTCTCCTTTTGTGTCCACTCTAGTACCGCCATGGGCTTTGGCCACCATTCTTATTGTTGCCGGCCTTTTGCTTCTCTGCTGCTGCTTCTGCGTTTTTAAAAAATGCTGTGGCAAGAAAAAGAAAGGGAAGAAAGGCAAAGACAAAGTCAAGGCACAGATCAACATGAAGGAAGTGAAGGAGTTGGGCAAAAGCTACATTGATAAGGTGAGCAGGGGGAGGGCTCAGGAATTCTGGGAGTTGAAGTCCACGAGTCATAATAGAGCCAAGGTTGCCTACCCCTGACCTAGGGTGAGTAGGTATCAAATGCTGGTATCATTACATTATGGAACTGCTGAAATAAGTGACAAAACAATAACCTAATTTGGGGGCAAGATGAAGAAATACAATTCCAGCGAGGAGGAGGAGGAGAAGAGGCTGTCCAAAGCCTTTTCCCTCTGGAAAACTCTGGAAACACAGAGTCAAGCACAGATTCTTGACTCAAGCAGAATAGTTTCAATTACATGAGTTCTGTGAGAGGTCACACAAGGAGGTGGTCTTGAGATAAAGCAGATTGGATTCAGAATCCAATGTGAAGGAAGGAAACTGAGCCTTACTGGAAATAAAAACTAAGCAGTGCAAGGGACTGGTTTGGACAAAATTCAGCAGCACTTTTTTGTGCGGCTGCTGATAAAAACAGGATCGCCAACATGATCGCCAACGTCTGATAACGGATATGGCACAAGAAGAAAAAGAAGATGCAAGGTGGAAGAATGGTCACCTTTTTGCTTGGAAATCTGGCCTTTCTCCCCATCTTAAAACTGAAATCATAACATTGTAGAGGAAACTGCCATTAACAGGTAGTATCGCCTGACTCATGGATTTTTCTGAGTGCAGATCCATTTGTAAAAACAAAAGGATGAACTGGGAACATGAATTGTTGGAGTTTTTGCAGAGGTCAAACCACTGAAAAGAAGGAGATGTTTAAGCTTTCTTCATAATATTTTCTCAGTCTTAAACCAGTAATTACTGGAGTTCTATATTTACAAGGGGAAAAAAACAGGCCTAATATGACAGAAGTGTTTCTCAACCCTAGCAGTTTCGAGACGTGTGGACTTCATCTCCCAGAATTCTCCACACATCATAAGTTGCTGAGGTTGAAAGACATTCATAGGATAGGAAATACAGCTCAATTTTGAGGATTCTTTTGCCCAGAAGGCAGTGATTGTAAGATGTTAAACTTGTGAATGCTAGACACTACAGAAAAGCTTCTTCTGTCACAGAAGAAAAACATAGAGTCAAAGACTAGAATGCCAGCATCTAGAAAGTTCTATTTATGTTAAGCCAAGCCGACTCTGAGGAGATCAGAGAAGCAAAATGTTTATCCAAGCATCCTCTCCGGCATTTTATTTGCAATGCTACTAGTGACAATGTAATTCTTCCTCCATCTTTTATTTGTTCTGATTCCTTTAATAAATTGCAGTAATTCATTTGATCAGTGTTAGCAGGAATACTAGTTTGCCTCCTCCACGTGTCAGGTCCCAGAGTTAATTTTCTCCTTGCTCCCAAGACTCTCATACCAAGTCTCTTTTTTTCATCAGATTTAGAGGAAACTTGTCATCCATGCAGGAGAACAGGCACTAAAATATTGAAGGGTTTGGCAACTGAATAACATCCATTTGTTAAGATCAGCATTGTCTGATAGATTTGTGTATGATGGAAGGGAAAATTCACACTGAGTGGAGTTTGTATGCTTGTATGAGTGCCCACATAATATCTGATCAAAGTAAACCAGCTTTTCCTCATCTTTGATGCCTTTCAAGGATTATAACCATCAGAATTGCCAGGCAGGATGGCATTCAAATTCTGGGATGTGACATCTCAACACACCATATATAGAGGACTGAAAGTTAGATAAAGAATGAGAAAGGGCGAACAGATCATGTGGCCTTGCAGAAGTTCTTCATCCACCTTGTTCTTAATGATTTTCTGTTGGTTACTTGGACCATTTCCTTCTTTACTTCCTTCCAGGTGCAACCAGAGGTTGAGGATTTAGATCCATCGTTGTTACAGGAATCTGAAGTGGAGAAGCCAGAGGAGAAGCTAGGGAAACTCCAGTACTCTCTTGATTACGACTTCCAGAGCACACAGGTGGGCAAGACAAACACCTGCCTTGGCTTAGATAGCGGCAGACTGATCTTCGTGTTCCTGTCAGCTTAGGGAAGCTGCTCGAACATCATCCAGAAAATAAGAAATGCACTGACGAGAAAAGACAAGTTCTGGAACGTTATTTGCATATTCTGATTTATAAATATTGATGCATGTGGAGAAATAATTACTATAATGTAAATGGAAGTACAATAGATCTTTTTATAATGGGAAAGATGGTGACCAGGTCATTGTCCCCTTTTTGCTGCGAATTCTGGATGAGCATTTTTAGGGTCTCTAATCCTTCTTTTAGTTTAAAACTTGAACTAAGCAGATTTCCAAAGGATACTATCAAATGAAGGGTTATTTCACCATATAATAGGACAGCTGGCCAACTTACCTTCATTAAACTTTTTTCTTTATCTGCAGTAATTACAGTCCTTTCATCCTATCCCATTGACAATATTTGAAATTAAGGGTGCAAGTAAAGTTAAGGAAATGTCCTATAGGAGTTCAGAAAAATAATATACATTTTATGTACTGAAAGTCCCAGGTTCTAACCCCAGCATTTGCAACTTCTACCTAGCAAAAATTATTAGAAAAGTTCCCATTTCTTCCTATCACCATAGCTGCTTTTAGTAGTCAATTTCTATCAAAAAATACATTCTCTTTACCTCCTCACTGGGTGGGAGAAAAAAAAGGCAAGAGAAGTTATAGTTAATATTGAAAGATTAGAATTAGAAGATAACTTAATCTAGTTTCTTTTTAAATTTTGTGGGTAAAGTAAGGTGATGACATATTTAAAGGTGCTTGAGGAAAATCTTGCTTGTCAAGAGAAATCCTGAGTTTGATAGACCAATGATTTGCCTCAATGGAAGTCATTTTTCTAAGTTTGAATATTTTCATCTTAAATCTTCCCTCTCAGTTGGTTGTGGGCATTATACAAGCTGCTGACCTCCCAGCGCTGGACATTGGGGGAACCTCCGATCCTTATGTCAAAGTCTTCCTGCTTCCAGAGAAGAAGAAAAAGTTTGAAACCAAAGTCCATCGCAAAACTCTCAACCCTACATTTAATGAATCTTTCACTTTTAAAGTAAGTTTGTGTTTCTTTTCTCTTGGCCAAAGTTCCAAAAATACACAAATACATTTCTTCTACATGCACCCTGCCATCTTCCTTTTTTAGCTCTAGTCTCCCCTCATCCATTGTGGAACTTCCCTTTATTTCACACCGCTAATCCCCACCCACCAACAACTGTGCACACAATTTAATTCTGTACCACCATTACCTTTAATACTTAGGTCCCTTATTCAGAACTTGGTGGTAAGATTCTCGTCATGGCCCTCTACGATTTTGACCGTTTCTCCAAGCATGATGTCATTGGTGAGATCCGTATCCCCATGAACACTGTGGACCTGGCACACGTGATTGAGGAGTGGCGAGATCTGCAGTCAGCAGAGAAGGAAGAGGTAAGAACTGGTGCAGAACCTTGTTAGATAAAGAGCTCTAACTGAAAGGTAATTGCATTGGTGGCTTTTATATATATTAGAAATGAGAAATGTTTTTCTTTGGAAAACTACCACATGATTGGAGTAATAACCCAACTATTGGGTAATCAAGTATCTTCTTGGAAGGTAATCAAGAACTTGACAACTGCATCTATATTTATGAGAAATATCCATCCTAGCTTTGAAGTAATTATTCATTTCTTTCTATAGCACGAGAAGTTGGGAGACATTTGTTTTTCACTCCGATATGTCCCTACGGCTGGGAAACTGACAGTGATTGTGCTAGAAGCCAAAAATCTCAAAAAGATGGATGTGGGAGGGCTTTCAGGTGAGAATTAAACCATTAGACTTAATTTAAATTGCTGAACATTTTAATATACCATTTGGATTATCATTTTGGAGGCACTCTGAATCCCCTGCTATTCTCTCATAATTTCTGGCTTCAACTTTTCCTGGCTATAAAAGCAAACCGTTCCCATGGGGAAAGAGGTGAGGAGGAGGAGGAGAGGTAATAAAGTATGCAACTCTCAAGAGCTTGTGAATATGTGTAATATTCATATGAAGAATAGGAATGGGAATTAGACTTTAGATTGTCCCTGGGTGGGAGGTCAGAAAAGGCCACTTACCTATTCAATACTGCTGGGTCTCCCATAGTTGTGGGTTTAAAAAAAGGGAGAGAAGTGAGCCAGCTCATTTAATTTGGATCAACAGTTGTTCAACATATAGGAATGAATGTGTGTAGCATTCTTTCTTGGTCTGCCTGTTCAATGAACGTTTAAAAACTTGCTGTGAAGATTAGTTTTGGCCAACAATAAAAATACATACATAAACACAACTATTTTGCCTTTTGTTACTTTCCTAGAAGTGACTTTAAAATTAAATTCTCTCATCAGGATATTGGGAGTAAGAAGAGAATCATAAAGCATCTTCATACTTTTATTTCCTTTGTCATCCTATCCCAGACCCATATGTGAAGATCCATCTCATGCAGGGAGGGAAACGTATCAAGAAGAAGAAAACAACTATCAAGAAAAATACACTGAATCCCTATTATAATGAATCCTTCAGCTTTGAGGTGCCTTTTGAACAAATCCAGGTAAATCTTCCTTCCCTGCAATGTCATTTCACTTGAAAATATGCTCCAATTATTTCCAGTCACTTTCATCTGTCCAAAACTGGCACTACTCGTTTTCAGAACAGGAATTGCTGGAATATTGTTTGCATTTTATTTGAAGATCTCGAGATAGTTTGTTTTGCACATTGTAAGACCAAGCTCTTTGTAACACATCCCAGAATCTTATGTTCTTAAGGAATCCTGCTCAAGTTAAGGTCTATATACCCAATGCTTAATTAATATACTGGGAAAGAATGACATGAAGTTTGCTATGGTTATTATGATTTGCTTGTCTTAGGGCAGCGGTTCTCAACCTGTGGGTCGCGACCCCATTTGGGGTTGAATGACCGTTTCATGGGGGTCGCCAAAGTCCTGGAGTTTTTCCTCATAGAATCCTTATGAAACGCAGTCCGGCATTTTTGTTTGTTTGTTTGTTTACCCTTTTTCATGAGCTATGCTACTCCCTTTTATTCTATTGGCTTTTGAATGCCAATAGAATAGACTCTCTTGAATAGAGTCTAATTCTATTGGCTTTCAAAAGCCAATAGGAATTGTCCAGGCTGTCTCTGCCCTGCTGAGCCCGCCAAAAGTCCCAGTCGGCAAACGTTGCTGCAAGTTGTCTGCAGCTAAGGCGAGCAACCCTTCCCTGCTGAGCAACTACTAAATGTAAGTAAAAGAGGGCCAAGGGTGGGAGGGCCGCCCAGGAGTGCCTGCGCTTGCCTGCCACTGCAGCGAACGGGCGACGGCCAAGGTATGGCTAGCGGGGCAGCGGCGGGTGCAGGGAGGGTAGCTGGCGCGTGTGGGGCCCAGCGGTAGCTTACCTCCCTTGGGCTGGGCCAGGTGGTGGCCCAGCCGGTTGTTGGCCTGCACCGTCGCTGCTGCTTGCCATGGCTGCCCAGGAGCGGGGCAGCGGCAGGCGCAGGGACGGTAGCTGGCGTGCGTGGGGCCTGGCGGGTGACTTACCTCCCTTGGGCTGGGCCAGCTGGTGGCCCAGCCTGTGGTCGGCCTGCGCCATCGCTGCCGCTTGCCATGGCCTCCCAGGAGCGCCTGGGCCTGCCTGCCGCATGTGCGGCGCTCCAAGGCCGAGCCGGTTGCTGGGCAACGGCCTGCGTGCACTCTCAGCCTGCCCGGCATGCGCTCCAGCCGCAGGAGAGGTGGAGCGTGCGTGTCAGAGAGAGAAAAATAAAAAGTGAGGAGAGAATGAGAGCGAGCAAACCCCGCCCCTCCTCCTGCCCCCGCCCACAGGGAAATACAGGTAGTCCTCGACTTACGACCACATGGTTGGGGGTCGCGGCATTAGGAAGGTTGAGAACCACTGTCTTAGGGAATGAAAACCCTCAGAATTGTAACCTTTTGCAAAGTTCCAGGATAGGGTTAGGGTTAGCTTTCACTTGACCTGAAGAATCAAACTATTTGGAAGCCAAAGGTCCTGGAAATTCAGATAATTGTGAAGCTGAAAGATGCTGCTTTAGAGGAAAAGTGATGGGTTCAAGCCAGCATCTTTTTTTCCTCTCTGCCACTATTCCTGCAAGCTGGCCTCTCTAGGCCACACGTCTCTGTTTGGAACTCAAGATAGAGAAAACAGAAGTTATAAACAGAAATTGCCAGTGGGCAGCAGTGGTAAGAAAGGCAGTTGAATCCATACATTCCCTCCAATTGCTTTTCATGCTGATGACCAACCTTTTTTCTTTCTATAGAAAGTTCAAGTTGTCCTGACAGTCCTGGATTACGACAAACTAGGCAAAAACGAGGCCATTGGGAAGATCTTTGTAGGCTGCAATGCCACGGGTACTGAGCTGCGCCATTGGTCTGATATGCTGGCCAATCCCCGAAGACCTATTGCTCAGTGGCACACACTGCAACCTGAAGATGAGGTGGATGCAGCAGTTGGGATAAAGACCTCTTGATATCCTTCACTTGCTGGCCGACGTTTCCGGCAACCATTCCATCTCCCATCCAAAGCAAATGGGAGTGTGTGGGTGAAGCTCCCCTGAATAGGCCTGTTGGGGGGGGGAGGGAAGGTAATCTGTGAGCTTGTCTCTTTTCTCAAAGCCATTTCTGTTTGGAAAAAAAAAATCTCCAAGACACAAAAAAAACACTTTTAACCCACTGTGTGAAAAAAGAAAGAATGCTTACTTAGTAATTGGAGACAAGTGACCGATTTACTATAAGCCAACCACAAAGCTTACAAAACAATTTATGCTGATTTAGATAAATATTTCAGATTTGACATGCGTTTGAAAATCGAGCCTTATGTAAAAATAGCCTTTTCCCCCTCAAAAGCATTACTACATAGTAATAGTTTATCTGTCAAATTTGGCAACCAGACTCAAAATAAATCTACTGTTAATCCTCTTTATTTGATTACACTATAGGTTCAAAACTAAATTTCTTTAAGGGATATCATTTCATACACCTTTTGAATGCTGCTGTATTATCACATTTGAAAACTAGACCTTGTATGGAAACCTATAAACAATGTCTACAAATATATGTTCAATAATAGATTTTCTAAAAGTTATAATGAGCTCCAATTACAATAACTAAAAAATTTTGGAGACTGTATTATAAAAAATCTTTATAAAGTTAGATCTCGGATAAAAATATAACAGAACACTTGAAAACTTTGTTTAAAAATAAGTTTTCTACAATTTCATAATGGCTTTATGTTTTGACTAAGGCTAGAATTTATATCCATTTAGCTGGAAGTAAATCCTATTTAATTCAAAGACACTTCTGAAGAGATGTTATAGGTTTGCAGGATAAGAGTGAGATTAGAATTTTTGGATTCTGAAGTACTTCAAATATACTCCTGCTTAAGTTATTGACACTCTGTCCAAAATATGACTAGGTAGGTTGAAATTGTAAAATGTAATATGTGTAGATTCCATATGTAAAGTTTTAGTAAACATAATGTAGGATATCCTAACCATCTTATTACAAAATTTCCACATACTAGAAATAATAATTTATAGAGCCTGCAGTTTGATGCTAGAACATAATAGCGTGTTACACATTAGCCAATCTATTAAGATATTCATAAAGTTTGTTGGTTTGTTTTCAATTAATTTTTTTGGGTTTTATAACAGTTTTGCTTATGCATTTATCTGTTTGACAACTTGTGGTTTACACATGTATGTTTATGAAATGTTTGATATTAATAAGAGTGTTAGGGAAAATTTGCTACAAACTTCCTGGAAGCAGGTTATATTTACTAGCATTTACTATCCAACTTGTAATAATTTTGATTTGTTAAAAACATGTTTACATTTTTGCTACAAGCTTAAACTGGTTTATTATACAACTGCAATAGGTTTCCAGTTTTGTTAGAAAGCAGTTTGAAGCATTTTATAAATGGAAAAAATACATTTATCCAAAAAGTTTACTCTTGGATTTAAAATGTTCGACAATAGTTTTACATAACCTGAAACATGTTTACAATACTTTTGGTATAGCAACATTACAATTAATTAGACATATCCTATGATTGCTTATAATTTGGATGGCTTGCCAAGAATTATAAGCTGATTACACTGCCAGCTATTTTCAGCAGAATCAAAATTAAGGGGAATAATTAAAAAACACAAAGTATGCCCTCCTTTAAAAAATAAAATAAAATCAGACCTTTTGATACTGATATTAGGATTTTTTACCCATATTTTTGTAGCACTTGCTGAAGTTTTCTCATCCCATTATTATAGTTTTAAATCTTGCATCTTGCAGGTGCTTCTAGTTACAAGGGAAGGGACAACTCTCCTTTACAAGAGGATAATCATAATTTTAATAATAAGCCTCACCACAAAGACTACCTATTAATGACTATGGTATATCAGAAAAAAGACTAAGGGTTAAACATTACTAGGTTCTCAATACATGATTATACCAAATATTTATAGAAAAAGAGTGCTACAGTTCTTATCTAATACTTTTAGTTGAGGCAACACTGCTCATTTCCTTTTCCTAATCTTGGCTATAAGTTAGTGTTTTTGTTTTTGTTTTAAATCTCGCTGTAAAATAAGAATTGAGGAAAAAGGAATGGGAATAAAAAAGATCTTATAGTGCAATTCCTATGTATTTTAGTCGCCACCTATATATGTTGCTAATGGAGCTAAATGGATATAGGATTGATGCCTTAGTAATTCTCTGTTTTAGGGAGAGAAGTTTTAAAGACATCTAGAACAGACAGATATTCTACCGCTTTTTGTCCTCCTATCTTTGCTTCTACATTTTCCTACCTAGACAGCCATATTTCCCAATTTGGTGCCCTCCAGGTATGCAAGCAAGGTTATGACTCCCATTAACCCTAGCCACTTAAGCTGGAGTGAGGGGAAATGTACTCTATGATATCTGAAGTGCACAAAACTGAGGAGAGCTGCTAAGGATTCAATAGTTTCTATGTCTTTCAACCAGCTGTTGACAGAAGCGGTGAGATGCCTCAATCTGTAACAGTATTAGATGAGAGAAGCCACTGTCATACCTTGAAAAGCCGAAGCATGTTGTATAGGGACGTTTCAAAAGCCATAGTCCGCACCTTTGCTTATTCCTGAGTAACAGGGTATTTCACTTCCAAAAAAGCATGCAAACTTTTGTAAGAAGTGGCTTAGAATTTAGGTCTTTGACAAAGAACAGTAGAAGGTCTGCTTAGAGGTAGTCCTCAACTTATGACCACAATTGAGCCCAAAATATCCATTGCTAAGCAAGAAAATTGTTAAGTGAGTTGCACCCCATTTTACAATCTTTTTTGCCACAGTTGCTAAGCGAATCACTGCAGTTATTAACTGAATCATGGAGCTATTAAGCAAATCTGGCTTTCCTATTGACTTTGGCTGCTGGAAGCAAGCTGGGAAGGTTATAAATGGTGATCATATGACTCCAGGATATTGCAACTGTCATAAATATATGCCAGTTGCCAAGCACCCAAATTTTGATCACATGACCATGGGGATGCTGCAACAATCGTTAAATATGAAAACTGGTCATAACTTACTTTTTCCAATGCCATTGTAACTTTGAATGGCCATTGAACAATTGGTTGTAAGTTGAGAACTGCATGTATTTTATTCATGTACAATGAAACATTTACACAGTTCCTTGGAAAATAATATTGAGAAACATAATTGTAAATCAGTTTATTTGTAATAAAAGACGTAATCATTGTGTCAACTGGCAACAGTCAGAAACACTTACTGTATTTGGGACTCATAGATCTGACAATGAATGAGATGCCTGTCTTACTCCAAACAGAATATTCATACTATCTCATTTTCTGAATAAGGGCAGTTGTTTCAATTTGTTGTTTAATATTAGCAATATTTTTGATGAACAGTTGATAAAATAGATAGGAACAGTGATTTTCAATATCATTTTCAAGATTTTAGTATAATACATGAGGAAAGTCAAGTATGACTCTCATCCTGTGCTGAATAAAAATGTATTCAATTTCTCTAGAATAAGGGACAACTGCCTCACATAACCAAGCCGAGGCCCTTGAAAGGATTATCATTTCAGACATGGATTTAAATGGAACACTTTTATTTTATTTAAGAAAGGGAAAATATTTATTAATAGTTAACTGGTGCAAACTAGAACAATATAAAGAGAATTTTGGTCCAATGTCAGTTTCCTAGTCAATGGATTTTTTTTTTTTACAAATAGCTTCCTGTGGAGGTGTATTGGGATTTAATAATGCCCCCACCTCACCAAATAGACAAATAAAAAGACTAGGCCAAGATTTTTGCCGATATGAGAGGCATGGTGGCCATTTTGTTTTCTGGCTAGTGCTTTTTTGTAGTTGTAGTGTTGATAGAGTTATACATTTATCTCTCCACTTTAAAATATGCCTGTTAGCCTCATCAAATTAATCCCCACTGCCGCATATATCTGTTTTACTCTGAATTAGGAGTGAGAAGAGGAGCATTCAACATGGCAGTTGCTGAGCCATGAGATGTTTAATACATTGAACGGTTGTTCATTCCATGCAGCTGAAAGTTCACCCCATTTTCCTTTTCTCAGCCCTTGAGAACTGATCAGTATATCAAAGATAATATTGGAACTGTCAGTCAGTGCTGTGTGCTGTACTTCCATCCACTGTATCTTGCTAATAACTCAATCTTTTCCCCAACTTCTAAACATCCTTTCCACATTTTGACATCAGCAAGTATGTAGATATCTAAATCAACTGCCCAGCATTGGAAAGAGGCCACTTTCTAAGTTTTGAAGAGTTGTGTAACTGTTATGATTGAAGGGATTGTGTAAAGTGCAGAAGGCTTTGTAACTCTAGTGTATGTTGTTTCTATTCCCTTTGTTCCTATGAATTACCCTCTGAGCGGTGCTGTCCTTTCAAAACCGCTTCTACTCCTCTTTTGAAACCAGTTTTAATATTGGTGTATTTGACCAAACAGTACTCTTGGCTGTTAATAAATAAGAGATCTCTATATTTCAAATGTGTTGCTTCTTATTGTTTTTGCTTAGGGCTCTATTGGGGTTGGGGAAGAGCCTGGAAAACATTCTCATCCCATTGTAAGTTCCTATCCTGTTCACCCATATTTTTTTTAAAGATACTGAATCCTCAAAACTAAATGCATAAACTCTAGCTGATCTTTATTTTTTCTCTATTTATTTTTTTCTATCTAGCCTTCCCCAATCAATACCTACAAGATATTTGAGAGCTATAATTCAAGAATTTCAGTTAATGTGACTAATGTTCCCTCCCTGGGAAGCAGGTTGGGTGAGGCAGTTCAGTGGTGAAAATCCTACATTTCTAATACTATTTTTAACAATCTTACCTATATGTTTAATTCGTTTATTCTAAAGTAAGTAGAATAACAAAACATTCCCAAAGCTGCTTTTTCAGAAGCTTTTTGGATGAGAAATGAAACATCTTCAAGGAAAAACAAAGAAAAGTCCAGTTGCCTTTTGAAAAAGCAACTTTGGGGGACAACCATGACCTAGATCAGGGGCCCTTAATCTTGGCAACTTTAAGACTTGTGGACTTCAACTCCCAGAATTCCTCAGCAAAGCTGGCTGAGGAATTCTGGGAGTTAAAGTCCATAAGTCTTAAAGTTGCCAAGGTTGAGGACCCCTGACCTAGATGACTGAGAATCTCTGAAGACATAAAACATTGCTAGTTTATATCTAAGGGAGAAAGTTAACCATCCATTGGAGTTATTCCCATCCTACAGTTACCTAATAAGAGAAGTAAGATTTGAATTCAAGCGCTGCAAGTTTATTGGAGACTCCTGAGAATATCATAGAAAGCCAAGAAAGCAAACTCAAGGATCGTTAAGCAAATCAATACAGAGTTCTCTCACTGGAGACACAAATCTCCAGGCTCAAACTATCCTACTCAAACTATCCTACTTAAGGCATCTTATGCAAAGACCCAGCTCTCTGGAAAAGGCTCTAATGACAGAAAAGGTGGAAGAAAAGAAAGAAAAGTAAAGTAAAGGACAAGCAGCAGCAAAGTGGATGGACTCAATTACAATATGAAGATGGGTGCACCATTGGTATCAACCCCAGGTAAAAGAACAAATTAGAGACAGAGGAAATTTATGTAGTTGCTAGGAGATGATACCTAGTTGATGGCACATAATCAACTACATATTAACCTGCCACCTTTTGCAACCAAAGAGTAAAGAAAGTGCTGCAACTTCTTTCTAAAGAGACTGCTGAATTGCAATTATTTATTATGCCCAGAAAATCCCTATTGACAATAAAGGTACTCCTTGACTTACAACAGTTCATTTAGTGACCGTTCAAAGTTACAGTGACACTGAAAAAGTGACTTATGACCATTTTTCACACTTATGACTGTTGCAGTATCCCATGATCACATGATCTACATTCTGATGCCTGGTAACTGACTCACATTTATGACAGTTTCAGTGTCCCAGAGTCATGTGATCACCTTCTGCAACCTTCTGTCAAGCACAATCAGTGGAGAAACTAGATTCATTTAACAATTGTGTTATTAATTTAAGAACTGCAATGCTTTACTTAACAAAGGTGGCGAGAAAAGTCATAAAATGGGGCAAAACTCACAACAAATTTCTCACTTAGCAACATAAATTTTGGGCTCAATTGTGGTCGTAGGTCGAGACTACCTGTAACCTTTGCCTGAGCCAGTAACAGAGCTAGCCTATCTGGGTTGCAAAACTCTGGACCATCCCTAGAAGGCAGTCAAGAGAGTCTTCCCATTCCAGCTAAATGCTTTTATTCTATTTATTGCACAGATGTCTGCATGATATTACTCCATACATCACTTTGGTTTCGGTTAGGCAAAGCAGCATATTAAATTAATACAGGATCCCCCCCATTCAATAAAGTATATTAATACAATCAGCAAGGGAGTATCGCTTCTCCCGTAGATAAACCTTGGAGCAAATCTGAGAATCCCTCCCCCACCCCCAAGCAATTCATGACAGCATCCACAGAGATTTCTATGTTATCATGACGGCAAATTAGTAAGTACATATAATATACGCCTGACATATAAGAGGTCTTGAAGTCGAAGAAAGGGGTGGGAGAAACGCCATTTCCTTCAGGCGACGAAGAAGGGACAAAGCGTACCTCTGAAGTAATCTACGCCAGGCATGCCGCTCCATCACTGCAGGCCCCGTTGCCGGGGAGACCGCGTCCCTGACTACCCGCCTATTTTTCCTTTCCCGGGCTTGGATTGGCTGCCGCGCGTCCTGTGGCGCGACTGATTGAACAGGGAGCTGTCTGTCACGACTTCCATCAGGAGGGTGGGAAGAGGGACCTGCGCCAGGAAAGGCGCTGCGCGACCCACTTTTTCGGCAGAGGATCGTGGCGGAGGGGATAAACGGGTAACCCCATTTTAAAGGCAAACTGAAGGGTTAAACGGGGTGGCGGGATAGATCGGAGTGGTTCTCGGTGCCAGTGAGCAGAACAGGCAAGCATCTCGTGGAGGTTTTAAATTCGAATTAAGTTCAGTGCAGGAGAAGGTTAAGCGAAACTCAGGGTAAGGGATGGATCAACTAAATATAAGTACAGGTAGTCCTCGACTTAGGACCACAAGTGAGCCCAAAATTTATGTTGTTAAGTGAGACATTGGTTAAGTGAGTTTTGCCCCATTTTATGACCTTTCTTGCCACAGTTAAGTAAATCACTGCAGTTAAGTTAGTAACACACTTGTTAAGAGAATCTGGCTTTAACATTGATTTTGCTTGTGAGAAGGTCGCAAAAGGAGATCACATGATCCTGGAACACTGCAACCATCATAAATATGAGTCAGTTGCCAAGCCTCTCAATTTTGAGCACATGACCATGGAGATATTGTAATGGTCGTAAGTGTGGAAAACGGTCATAAGTCACTTTTTCATTGTTGTAACTTTGAACAGTCACTAAACGAACTGTGGTAAGTTGAGGACTACATGTATGAATATCAAATGTCAAGGGTCACACCATGCTGTTGCACAGAAAATAAATTGCATTTAAATCTTATTGCCGTTACAGTACTACCTCATCTTTCTCTCCCAGACTATGGTATTAGTTAGTATCCTAGCATCTTAGGTTCACTGCCTACAGTTTACTCAGAAATAAGTTGGCTTGCATTCAGTGGTGCTTTCTATATAAATATATGGTTCAGAAAAACCATTTAGACCAAAGTCCCCAACCTTTCGGGCACCAGGGACTGGTTACGTGGAGAGAGGTTTTTCCGTGGACTGGAGGGTGTGTGGTTTTGTGTGCTGCCTGCATCCTGCAGATGAGGCTTTGTTTGTTTGTGCGGACCAATTGCTGGCATGCTGCGGCCTAGTACTGGTCCACGGACCGGAGGTTGGGGACCCCTGATCTAGACCAGTATTTTTCAAATTTGGCAACTTTTAAGATGAATGTATTTCAATTCCCATAATTCTCCAGCCCACATCTGTGAGTTGAAGTCCACTTATCTTGAAGTTGCCAAGTTTGAAAAACATGGATGTAGATCAGTAGTTCTCAAATTGTGGTCTGAGAACCCCAGGGGGTCCCCAAGACCTTTCAGGGGTTCCTCAATGTTGAATAAATAAGTATTTTAAGATTTCTCAGTTTTAATTTCTAATACAGTAATTATTGAGAGGTATAACTCATATAAGCCTTTGGAGTTCTCCATTAGTGTTGCCTAAATTTCTTTCTCTGAGGTCTCCTTCCCACTTTTAAAAATTATGGAAGACTCCAAAAATACTTTTATTGGTATGAGTTATATTTATCAATATTTACTGTACTAAAAAAATAAAATTGATGCATTTGCTGCCACCTCCACTCCACACAATTGTTTGACAGGATTTTAGTATATTATTTTTCAATATAGGTTGGCAAATAATTTTGATTTCACAAACCCCTAAGACTCTTAACACTTTGTAAAACATTGATTTAGATGAATATTAGCAGGATTGGAAGATTGTGCTAAGCCATAAAGTAATAAGATTAGAGCTGTTTCATCTTTTGCAGCTGTTTTATTATTGCAGTATTAAATGGTGGGATTCAATTTCCGGTTATATCTATTTGATGCTCCATTTTAAAATACCGTAGATTAGTAAGCACTAATCAAAGCACCAAAGAATCTGTCCTGTATAATTAGTTAACTGAACTCACAATTGTAATTATGGGTAAAACCCTTTATCGGGATTTCAGAGAAGAATTTTCCCAGCTTCTCCTATACTGGCCAGAAAATGAACTTATGATCTTTGGCAGGTATTTTATTGCTGAAATACAGCCCTTCCCTGCAATATATAGGCTTATTTTTATCATTCGACTTCATTTTTCATTTTAAACCGTAACATCTAATTCTTCCAAGAGAGAACACTGAATTAAGACTACTAGAAGTAGGCTATGCCATGCAAATGTTATGCATTTATTCATATGAATAAATTGAATTTGTCTATTTGTTCACAATAAATTCATGTTCCTCTTATTTAAAGTTGCATTCATATTTTTTTTATTAAAAGTTTTACAATTTTACAATAAAATCCCTCTCCCACTCCTCCCTACTCTCCCAAACCCCCCCCCTCTTCCCAGAGCTGAATACAGGGTTAACTAGAACTAAAAATACAAAACATTTAAACTTAAGTAAACCTCAAACAAAAGTTACATTAAAAAAAAAGAAAACAAAAAAATTCCAATATATATATATAATAAAAAAGTCCAATATATATATATAATAAAAAATACTTATTGTCTTAAACTTTAAAGTTTAAACATAAATTATTCAAAAGCTAAATAATATCTTTTAATATCATACTTATACTGTATAAAGTTTATCCATCTTTTCCACACCAAGAGATATTTCTCTTGCGATGGATCTTTCAAATAAGCCGAAATTTTTGCCATTTCAGATAAATAAGAAACTTTAAAAAACCATTCCTCCAAGGTAGACAAAAATTCCTTCTTCCAATATTGTCCTATCAACAACCTTGCCGCTGTAATTAAATTTAACATTAAAATAATTTCTTTATCATTACAATCAACAATAATACCTAACAAAAACAGTTGTGGAGTGAATTTTATCCTTTTCTTAAAATTTTTTTGAATATTCCACCATATCTTTATCCAAAAAGCTTTTATACTTTTACATGACCACCAAATATGATAATACATTGCATCCAAACAACCACATCTCCAACATTTAGGTTGCAAATTTGAATACACACGAGACATCTTTTGTGGATCAAGGTGCCATCTATAAAACATTTTATAAAAATTTTCCCGTAAATTTTGAGCTTGCGTGAATTTAACATTCCTCACCCAAATTATCTCCCATGTTTCTAATAAAACCGGCTCATCAAAATTTTGAGCCCATTTAACTATGCAATCTTTAACTAATTCTGTTTCTGAATCCAACTCCACTAATACATCATAAATTCTTTTTATATGAGATCGACTTTGATCTTTAATTTGTTTCCACAAATTTTCATCCTCTCTAATCAAACCCACTTTATAATCTATCTTCCACCTTTCCAATAATTGTCTACACTGAAACCACGAATAAATAATATTTTCTTGTGCATCAGTCATGCAAGAATAGAAAGGCTCCCAAAAAGAGAAGCTACCTTCTGGTAGGTGATTCAATTATAAGGGATGTAAATTTAGGAAAGGACACAGAGGCTTTGAAAGAGGTCAGGTGTCTTCCAGGTGCTACTGCCAGTAGGGACAAGAAGCGTATTTCTAAAATAATCAAGAATGGCAGCAAGGACTGTGATGTGGAGGCTATTGTACATCTTGGCACTAATGATCTGTCCCAAAAAGATGTACTCTCTGTGCAGAATGATTTCCAGAGCTTGGGGAAGGAACTTAGCAGAATAAGCTGTAGGCTTACTTTCTCAGAGGTTTTACCAGTGTATAAGGAGCAAAACGGAAAAGGCCAGCGCATAGCACAATTCAATATGTGGCTAAAGGAGTGGTGTAAAGGGGAAGGCTTTGGATATATTAGTCACGATGTCAGTAGCTGGTCCAATCAAAAGATGTACAAAAGAGATGGTTTGCATCCATCAAAAAAAGGGACTGAGTTACTCGGCTATAAATTCACAGATTTTCTGGAGGGAAATTTAAACTAAACAGCGGGGACAGGGAGTTAATTGATACGGAACAACCCTGTCCCCGGCAATTTAAAAACTATAGGGCTATCAGTGCATGTAGCATAGATGTGTGTGTGGACAAGAATACCAACCTTGCTATCAATCAAAATGAAGCCTCTAATAGCGAGTGCCACATAAAGTGCACTAACCAAATAGGTGGTAAGACAATAGGGGAACTCAGGCACCACACAGGCTATGTAGAAAGGAAACACAGGGCCACCCACAAAGGACTCAAATGTTTATACACCAATGCACAGAGTATGAACAGCAAACAGGGTGAACTAGAAATTCAGGTTAATGAGGGCAGATACAATATTGTTGCCATTACGGAAACATGGTGGGATGAAACTCACACATGGAACACACAGCTAGAGGGATTTAAATTATTTAAAAGAAACAGACCAAATAAAAGAGGAGGTGGAGTTGCTCTCTATATAAGAAATAACTACATCTCCACAGAAATAGAGTACAACAATGATAAAAACTGTCTTGAATGCATTTGGGTCAATATAAAAGGGGGGGGGGAAATGACATTGCCATAGGTGTATACTACAGACCACCCAACCAAACAGAGGAAATAGATGAACTTTTTGCCAGTCAGCTAACTAAGGTATGTAGGAAGCACATCACAATAGTAATGGGGGACTTTAACTACCCTGACATCAACTGGGAGACAAACTCCGCACCAAGTGGAAGATCAAACAGGTTCCTGGCAAACCTAGCAGACAACTTTGTCTCCCAAAAAGTAGAGAAGGGAACTAGGGGATTAGCCATCTTGGATCTAATTCTCACTAACAGAGATGAAATGATAGACGGTGTTGAAGCCATAGGAACCCTGGGAGGAAGTGATCATGCAATATTAGAATTCAACATTATAGAAGCACAACCAATAGAACACAGTCAAACTAGAGTCTTGGACTTCAAGAGAGCTAATTTCAATAAACTTAGAGAGGGCTTGGGAAGGATTCCATGGATGAGAATCCTCAAGGGGAAAACAACTCAAGAAGCTTGGGAAATTTTGAAAAATGAGATAATAAAAGCACAGTCTAGCACAATACCAACAAAGAGGAAAAACAACAGCTCTCAAAAGAAACCAGCATGGCTGCATAAAGAACTCTCTGACAAATTGAAAGATAAAAAGGACAAGTATAGAAAGTGGAAAGAGGGGAACATAACTAAGTCAGAATATCAGCAAATAGCCCGAGCCTGCAAAGATGAAGTGAAGAAAGCCAAGGCTCAAAATGAACTAAGGCTTGCGACCAAAGTCAAAAATAACAAAAAAAGCTTCTTTCAACATGTAAAAAACAAGAAAAAAGTGAAGGAAACGATTGGTCCATTAGTGGGTGGAAGTGGCAAGAAGGTGACAAACAACAGGGAGAAAGCAGAACTATTTAACTCGTGTTTTGCATCTGTCTTTACACAAAGGGAAAAAACAGACCAACCTATCAAAAATAGTGCCATAAAAAACAAAACAGAAACACAAGTTAAGATAGGCAAGAAAATGGTTAGGGAGCACCTGTCCAGCCTAGATGAGTTCAAATCGCCAGGACCAGATGGATTACACCCCAGAGTTCTCAAGGAACTGGCAGATGTAATATCGGAGCCCACTGAACTATATTTTTCAAAGATCCTGGAACACAGGGGAACTACCAGAGGACTGGAAAAGAGCTGATGTAGTTCCCATCCTCAAAAAAGGAAAAAAAATGGATCCAGGGAATTACAGACCTATCAGCCTGACCTCAATACCTGGGAAGATCCTGGAAAAGATAATCAAACAACGAATCAACGAACACCTAGAGGCAAACAAAGTCATTACTAAAAGCCAACATGGGTTTGTCAAAAATAGATCATGCCAGACAAATCTTATTGCATTCTTTGACCAAGTGACAAAATTAGTGGATCAGAGGAATGCTATGGACATAATTTACTTGGACTTCAGTAAGGCATTTGATAAAGTAGATCACAACCTACTACTTGACAAGATAGAAAAATGTGGGGTAGACAGAACCACCACCAGATGGATCCGTAGCTGGCTGACCGGCCGTACTCAGCGAGTGGTCCTCAATGGAACTGCATCTATATGGAGGGAAGTGTGTAGTGGGGTGCCCCAGGGCTCTGTTCTGGGCCCAGTACTCTTCAACATCTTCATCAACGATTTGGATGAAGGGATAGATGGGGAACTCATCAAATTTGCAGACGACACCAAGCTGGCAGGAATAGCCAACACTCCAGAAGACAGGCTTCAGATACAGAAGGATCTGGACAGACTTGAACACTGGGCACTAACTAACAAAATGAAATTCAATGGTGAAAAAAGCAAGGTTCTACATTTAGGCAAGAAAAACCAAATGCACAAGTACAGCATAGGTGGCACCATGCTCAATAGTAGTAACTGTGAGAGGGACCTCGGAGTCCTAGTAGACAATCACTTAAATATGAGCCAGCAGTGTGCTGCAGCTGCCAAAAAGGCCAACACAGTGCTAGGCTGCATTAACAGAGGGATAGAATCAAGATCACGTGAAGTATTAATACCACTCTTTAATGCCTTGGTAAGGCCACACTTGGAATACTGCATCCAGTTTTGGTCACCACGATGTAAAAAAGATGTTGAGACTCTAGAAAGAGTACAGAGAAGAGCAACAAAGATGATTAGGGGACTGGAGGCTAAAACATATAAGGAACGGTTGCTAGAATTGGGTATGTCTAGTTTAACGAAGAGAAGGACAAGGGGGGACATGATAGCAGTATTCCAATATCTCAGGGGCTGCCATAAAGAAGAGGGAATTAAGCTATTTTCCAAAGCACCTGAAGGCAGGACAAGAAGCAACGGGTGGAAACTAATCAAGGAGAGAAGCAACCTAGAACTAAGGAGAAACTTCCTGACAGTGAGAACAATTAATCAGTGGAACAGCTTGCCTCCAGAAGCAGTAAATGCTCCAACACTGGAAGTTTTTAAGAAGAGACTGGACAGCCATTTGTCCGAAATGGTGTAGGGTTTCCTGCCCGAGCAGGGGGTTGGACTAGATGACCTCCAAGGTCCCTTCCAACTTTACTATTATTATTATTATTATATGTTTTAATTGCCAATTCTTCCCATCCCAATTAAGTAATTGTTTATAAGAAATACTGTCCATCTTCACTCCTTTCCTTATTCCTTCTATTGCATGCCCCGGGATAGCCCATAATGGAATTCTTGAGTCTATTCTATAATATTTCTTCCAAACTCGAAGTAAAGAAATTCTTAAAATATGAGACTTAAAAGCCCTATCCACCTTCTTATTATAAATTAAATAGGCATGCCATCCATATAATAAATCCCATCCCTCCAAAAGGAGTATATCTACATTTGTTAAATTAATCCAATCACTAATCAGTGTTAAAACCACAGAATCATAATACAATTTGAAATTTGGTACCTTGAGTCCACCTTGTACATCTTGTATAATTTTAAATTTTACTCTTGGTTTTTTCCCTGCCCAGATAAATTTATTAATATCTTTCTGCCATTCATCTAAACTTGCCTCGTTCTTCAAAATGGGTATCATTTGAAATAAAAAAAGAAACTTTGGCAAAACATTCATTTTAACCGCTGCTATTCTCCCCAACAAAGATAATTGCAACTTTTTCCAATCGTTTAAATCCTTTTGTACTTTAAGCCACAACCTTTCATAATTATTTTTATACAGTTTTGCATTAGAAGCGGATAAAAATACCCCCAAATATTTTACCTTATTAACAATTTCAAAACCTGTCAATCTAACTAAAGTCTCCTTATCCAAATTAGTCATATTTTTGGCAATATTTTAGTCTTATTAACTTTAAAACCAGAGACTTGTCCAAATTGATTTATCAATTGTAACAACTCCATTACTGAGTAAGTTGGTTGGGACAAAGTAACAACCAGATCATCTGCAAAGGCCCTTAATTTATAATTATTCTTATTAATCTCTATTCCTTTTATTTTAGATGATTCACGAATTTTAATCAGCAAAATTTCCAAAGTTAAAACAAACAACAAAGGCGACAATAGACAACCCTGTCTAGTCCCCTTTTCAATTTGAAATACCTCAGATAAACCTCCATTAACTATAAGTTGTGCTATTTGTCTTTGATAAATTGCTCAAACAGCTTGTAAAATTTTATCTCCAAAATTCATTTCCTCAACCAATCTTAACATAAATTGCCAATTTACCTGATCAAAGGCTTTCTCAGCATCTAGAAAAATCAATCCTGCAGAGAACTGATTATTCTTATCCAAATATTCTATTAAATTGATAATTTGTCTAACATTATTCTTCATATATCTTCCAGTTATGAAACCTGTTTGATCCATGTGTATTACTTGATTCAATACAATCATAAGTCTATTAGCTAAAATTTTTGAAAATATTTTATAATCTGCATTCAAAAGAGATATAGGTCTATAATTTTTTGGTAAAGTTGCATTCATATTAAGAATGTTTACTCCTAGTCCAAATCAGTGTGATAATAATCATATATATATACCCCGTGCATTTTCTTTCCATCTGAACCTTAAAATCACATATTACAGTACTGTCTTCTTTTTCATCTTTAAAGCAACTGGCTACTCATAATATATCTAAAATGAAGGATTGGACTAATTCATGTATAAGCTTGCACTTTTGAAATAATTAAAATGAAACGCTGAGATAAGAATTGGGTGTCCTGGATATTACCTTAGTACAGTGGTTCTCAACCTGTGGGTCGGGACCCCATTTGGGGTCGAACGACCATTTCACGGGGGTCGCCAAACAATGCAGTCCGCCATTTTCCCCCCCTTTTCCTTAGCTGTGCTACTCCCTTTTATTCTATTGGCTTTTGAAAGCCAATAGAATAGACTCTCTTGAATAGAGTCTAATTCTATTGGCTTTTGAAAGCCAATAGGAATTGTCCAGGCTATTTCTGCCTTGCTGAGCCCGCCAAAAGTCCCATTCTGCAAATGGTGCTGCACCAGTTGAGTAGTCCTCGACTTACGACCGGTTGAATAGTCCTTGACTTACGACCAGTTGGGGGTTGCGGCATTAAAAAGGTTGAGAACCACTGCCTTAGTAGATGGTCCCTTCACCCCATTCTAGTCTCTACCTGAGGTTATTATGGGGAATCATAATATGACAACTGCCTTCGTGTTACATCAGATGCTCCATAGCAGCAAAGCATCCTCTCCTTCTTTTTTACTTTTTTGCATTCTTTATACTGAATTTTTATTTCCCTTCAGTGCAAATGCTCTTTTACTTATCCCTGATTACTGGCAAATTGGTGAAACAAGGGATTTGTATTCTATGCCTGTTCATGTTCTTTCTGAAATGACTTGCTTGAATCTGGAACAAAGGTGCATATGATCAGATCACTTAAATATGGAGACAAGCACTGGCAAGTAACAAGGAGTCCTTTGTAAATAGGTTTGCCCCTTCAGTTTTAGAATTTAGGTTAGCCTGAACTATGTTGGTTTACAAATGATGTACGTCAAGTTGCCTTTTGGAGAAAGGTATGTGGTATCTACTTAATATACTGCCCTAGGAGTAAAATCAAAAGAATAACATGTTTTTCATCTCTTCTCCAGTTTGGTAGAGTCTAGAAACATTACAATATAGAATAATTCCAAGAATTGGAGTTGTTCACAAGAAATTAAAAATATAGGCACCCATTTGCAAAAGATGGGACATAGCAATCCTATAAGATGGATCCAGATCTATTTGCTTATGGTTTATATGTGTCTTAAGATTTTTTAAAAATTTTTTTTAATTAAGCCTGTATTCAGCTCTGGGAAGGTCGGGGGAGGGTAGGGAAGGGTTGGGAGGGTTTGGGGAAGGGAATTGTTTTGTAAAACTTAAAAATTTTCAATAAAAAAAAAAGATGGATCCAGATCTGTGGTAAAGGATGAAATTGAGAAGAGCAGTTTTTCTAAGATTAACAAGGTCACGCCAAAATCAAGGCCCTGTTGTTAGGATCCAGTTGAGTAGAGTTCCATTCTAGTTGTTTACTTGCTGTGTTTATATTTTATACATCAGGTAGCTTTTTTTAATGTGTGGTAATTTGTTCTGATTATTGTTTGTTTCTCTTGCATGCTGCCCAGAGTCATATTATTAGAAGAAGATCAGTTTCGTATATAGAATGCGAAAGGTAGATAAAATTATAGCAAGAGAGTAAATTAACTGTGATGGGTTCCTGATACATAATTCGTAAATTTTATGTTTTTCTTCTTATGATGTTTTCTTTGCAGTCATGTTAGCAGCAGGTACTGGCAATGGTTTTGGCACCACAGCTTGGTGGGGGTTTTCTCCAGCACTCAACTTGCAAGCAATGTGTAAGTGTCACTTTTTTTCAAAATGCAGGATTCCCTTTTCCTCTCTGTTTTCATGTTTTATTATGAAATTGGAGCCTCTTATCCCACAAATGTGGAAGGAGATTTTTGCTTCCACTAGCAAAAACTCTCTTTTCTCTGCTCCTATGTGGGCTTAGTAATGTAATGCTACCTCTGAAGAAAAAGTATTTCTTGGTCCAACAGATGCTGATATTCTATTGGATGAGAGCTTATGTATGTGTTACATACACAAATATACATACACAGAGAGACAACCTGATGCTCCTGTGTAGTAATATTGCTCTCCCTCATCCCATCTTTATATCCATTATCAATATTTTTAGATTTTGCATATCCTTCTTGTTATTAATTTTTAAGATGTTTTAATTGAAAATATGAAGCTGATATGTTGCAAAGCAATCCTTCATTTCTTTTTCTGGCTTTGTGTTTATTTTAAAAAATGCTCTGGATCTTCAGGGTCACTGCATCATCCTGACAGAATTTTTTTAAAATAAAAATTTTAGCCCAGGGCTTTGTCAGAAAATGTACTCTCCTGACTAGAAAAAAAGCTAAAAGTAGGCCAGAGGAGTTGATTTGCCTTCAGATAAATGGGCATTTTGGTGAACAATATTCTATCCTGGCAGCTTTTTAAGAAAAACATAAAGCTTTCCACGATGGGCATTTTGAGAAAGCAGTCTTAATATGTTGTCAAATGTCCACATGCTCACTGTTGTAAAAAGATTGTGCTTCCTTGGTATGGCTGCAGGCAAAAATTTAGATTCCCCAGTCAAATTGTTTGATTCCATAAGTAAACAGAAGCTAACATAATCGCTGCATGGCACAAAGTTAAAAACAGCCTCTTTCTGCCATTTTCAATTTCTCCAAATTACTATTTACTACATGTGCAATTGTTTACAGATGCGGAATATGAAAACATTCTTTGCCAATTCTTGAACATGCAGAGTTTTCCTATTAGGAAAATAACGTATGTTTTTAGCATAGAATGTTGGCAGTTGTGAATGAACATACTAATTATCTTTGTAGCTCTGGAATCCTCCACGGAGCACCTGAAACTATCCCAGAATGGCGTTCCTGAACTGAACATCCTGCTAGTGGGGTCTATAGATGCACGACATATCCTAAAAACGATGAGTCATATGCATCGGCAGCCTCGGAGAAAAATCAATGTGTGTAACCTTTTCCTTCCATTTCAGATTGCCTTATGCTATTTTTGCACTTTGGTTTGTTCTGATAATTGCATTGCACTTTCCCTCATTTTGTGTTTTATTTACTCCTGCCCACTACATTCTGCAGAGATTGAATGGTTTCTTGGGTTATTTACCTAAACTTTGCAGATTTATTATTTTATTAAAGCAAATTCGATAGCTAGAACGTACATTTCTTTGCATCTGCTGTAGGAATAGCATTTCTCCGCTAGTGAATGGACTTGCAATTTATTTATTTCATTAATACATTGCTGTCATTCAGTTAAATAATTTAGAATTATTTTGTTTTAGTCCAAGGTTTTGTCTGTTGCCCCCCAAAATGGGAGCTTTCTTGGAATACTGTAGGCTTGCAACAGCCATAAGATGATGTTGTTTTAACAAAAAATCTTGGTTGCAGGATATAAAGTGATGCAGTCGTAATCTTGCTTGAAACTAAAACAAGTCTGACTAGGAGACAGCATAGGAACCTTACTATTGGAACACTTACTTAGCAATGTTTGAATATCTAAGGGGCTGCCTTAAAAAAGAGAAGGTCAACCTATTTTCCAAAGCACTTGAAGGCAGGACAAGAAGCAACGGATGGAAACTAATCAAGCAAAGAAGCAACCTAGAACTAAAAAAAAAAAAAAAAATCCTAACAGTGAGAACAATTAACCAATGGAACGACTTGCCTCCAGAAGTTGTGGGTGCTCCAAACTTGGAGGTTTTTAAGAAGAGCTTGGTCAATGATTTATCTGAAATAGTATAGAGTTTCCTGCTTGAGCAAGGGTTGGAAGACTTCCAAGATCCTTTCCAACTCTGTTATTCTGTTACTGATTTCCATGATGGAGAGAGGGCAGGTAATGAAGTATAGTAGTAAATACAAATAAATGTTTAAAATCATTTTTAAGGGACAATTGTCCACTCCTGCTGCAGTATATTCAGCTCTCAAAAAAACCCCAACTCCAACAGACTGGCTCCAGAAATTATAAAAGCCTTTGCAAGTGTAAACAGTGATACATAAATGCTTGACAATACAGTTGAGAATGTTTTGAAACATCAAGAAAATACTAGAATTCCTCCTATATTTAGCTGCTTTTCCATTAAAAAGTCTATTATCTGTATCTAAAATTCACCAAGGAGATTGGGAAGAAGAACTGCACTTCCTTCTGCAAGGGAAAGGATTTTTCTACTGGGCTATATCAGAGGCACCAAAACTAATGACTTCTCTTCTCAAATTTGAGTCATTCTGCCCATGTGATAAAGTGATGGTGGCTTCTTGCCTCTTCTTTTCCTTTTCCTAAGATGTGTGATGACATTAATTAATTCCCGGCATAGTGAAGAATCTGACAGGGCTGCTTTGGTAGCTGTCCACCAATGATAGTCCTTCAGCTTATCGCACTGCTGAAGTTCTTGTGTACTGTGGTTGACTTGTGAGGTGGAGGTGTGGAAGTAAAGATGAACAAGGACATGTTTGTGACCACAGATGCAGCATCACTGCAATCCCCCATCACAACTCCTACATTTGTACGGATGTCCTTTGGCGCCCTTCCTTCATCATGAGGCTATGAGTCAACGGCAGTGACTCTCACAGCAAGCATTTTTCACATTGCTTCATAGCAAGAAGATTGTGATGGAGGGGGGGGGATGGAGCAGGGCTGTGAAAAGGAAACTTTTGAATTCCTGGTCTTGGTCTCATCGGAGCTTTGTTTGAATTCGTGAATTCTTGATGATAGGAATGAAGCCTAGTGTGTTAGAGGGAATTGGAGTACAATGGTTCTTGGATAGTGAATCAGTTTGTAAAGTATACAGCTGAATAGTAAACTGGGAAAGCTTTTAAATGGGAAAAAGAATTTCCCAGAGGAGTGTAAGGATGTGGGGAGTGAGATCTTAGAAGGTAGGTTACAGCTGAAGAATTTAGGATTCAGAATTTCTCTCTAGAAAGCTTGTTTGGATGTTTTCAGCATCTGAGTGTAGCTAATCTTTGTCTTATACAACAGTTCATTTACTGATCATTCCAAGTTACAACAGCACTGAAAAAAGGGACCCATGACTGTTTTTCACACGACTGTTGCAGCATCCCCATGCAAGGTGATCAAAATTCAGCCGCTTGGCAAATGGTTCATATTTATGACGGTTGTAGCGTCCCGGGGTCATGTGATCTCCTTTTGTGACTTTCTGACAGGCAAAGTCAATGGGGGAGCCAGATTCATTTAAATGTCAGGTTACTTACTTAACGACTGCAGTGATTCGCTTAACAACTGTGGCAAGAAAGGTCGTAAAATGGGGCCAAATTCACTTAACAATTATCCCATTTAGCCACAGAAATTTAGGGCTCAATTGTGGTCATAAGTCAAGGATTACCTGTAATGGAAAGAACAAGGGGCAGATTTGCTGCTCTTTCGGGATGCCACAATACCGAAGAGCTACAATATCTTTGTAATATTTTCTTTTATTTGCAAATATACAGGCAACACAATGGAAAAAAAAATCCAAACTATGAAGAACAGAATCCCTCTCTAAGAGAGGTCTTATAACCCCAAGCTTCCTACAGTCAACTCTCTCTCTCTTCCACAACCTGCCAATTTGTATTACTCTGGTGCACACCATATATTCACACTCATGCAGACGTATCTGCTTCTGTTGGCTTGAGTGGGTATCTCATTTTAAAAACTAGACAAGAATTCTCATTTCCCAGGAAATGCTCCGATCATGTCTTTTACTGGCAAAATATCAATCAGTTATTCTTTTTTTTTTTTAACCAGTAATGAGGCAGGAGAGTGAACCCAGCTTACGAAGTACTGCAGGCCAGACAATCAGATATTTCATTTTGTACTAAGCATGTCTTATTTAATTAAGAGCCAAACTTAATAAGATGTTGCAGATCAGTGATATGTTTCACATCTTTTTAATCTGCTTTAAAAAATTGGTCTCGATGACTCAGTGGTCCAATCGATGTAAGGCAGTTTCCATTTTGATATTCACAGTGTAATGGGGAAGATTTTCCACTTTGCTCAGCTAATTGCCTCTCTCATTCACTCAGTTCTACGTTTTGGAGAACAATCTGGAGGCTGTGAGTCGGCAGCTGTTATTTTTGAACCTGGCTCTGGAGCCTCCAGACAAGATGGGCCTACAAGGTAAGGGGAAAGTATGGTTCCTCTGCCTACCCCAGCTTCACTCTCTTCTTTGGAAACCAGTTGGTTTGGGCTTCTGGACCACTCTCTAATGGTTTGGGGATAGGTGGCAGATCCAGAAAATTGAATCTTAATGCCTTACAATTGATATCTCTTTGCTATGTCCTCCCTCACCTAAGAGAAGAGTGAGATATTCTTGGAACTGATGGGGAATACCCTCCTTCGGAGCCAGACCGCTGCCTATCTGCAGGAGAAAGCAGCCCTCTTCATCCGTTACATTACAGACTCTGACTTCCAGCTGGCTAATCTCCCTGTTTTGGACTTCTCTGCACTCAAGGTGAAATGCAAAATAATCCAACAGTCAGGTTATTATCACTGAAGGAGCGATGAAGACAGAGGTTTACTGTGCTGTTCTGGCTCTTTGAGATCCACAATCTATAGCCACGCATCCCAGATTGTGGATCCAAGTTATTATGCTCCACATTTTTATTTGTTTGTTTGTCACCCATCTTCCTCACAGAGAGACTCTGGACGCTATACGATAAACTACTAAAAACATAAAACAGGCAAGGAATGTTTAAAAAAATGATGAAAAGGTGGGGGGACATTTTTTTTTCTGGCTTCAGCTCCTTAATACTCCTTTATAGGATCAGAAACCTGGGGATTCAGTAACCTTCTAACTTTTGTTCCTGTTTGGATAGTTCAGGGAGCGGGACCAATTAGAGGCCATTTTTCAGTTCTGGCGGAATCCAGAGCCACAAGCTTTCCAGATCAAGCAGCTTTGGGACCTGCGGCTCCGGCAATATCTGGGCACCCGTTACGACTCTCGACGTGGTGTGTGTGACTGGGATCTCACCATGAAGCTGCATGAGCATGGGGTATGTAACCAAAATGTGGGAAACATTAGCCAAGCACACTTGGGGTGTGGTACTACACACACCATAGTAGGGGCACTCCTCCTACCCTCGCAATACAGGTAGTCCTCAACTTACAACAGTTGATTTAATAACTGTTCGAAATTACAATGGCACTGAGAAAAGTGAGTTATGACCAATTTTCACACTTGTAACCATTGCAGCATCCCCAGGGTCATGTGATTTACATTCAGATGCTTTATAAAACGGTTGCAGTATCCCAGGATCATGTGATCATTTTTTGCAACTTCCTGACAAGCAAAGTCTATGGAGAAGCCAGATTCACTTAACAACAGTGTCACTAATTTAACAACTAGAGTGATTCACTTAATCCATAGGTTGGCAACCTGCGGCTCCGGAGCCGCATGCGGCTCTTTGAGCCTTCCCCTGTGGCTTCCAGCCTCCTCTGCCATTTGCAGAGAGAGACAGAGACAGAGATAGGCACCTGTGCTTCCCTGCTTCTCTCTGTGTCTCTGTGTGTGTGTGTGTCTCCCTGTCTCTCTCTCTCTCTCTCTCTCTCTCTCTCTCTCTCTCTGTGTGTGTGTGTGTGTGTGTGTAAAAGAGAGTGGACTGAACTCACAGTGTTCTCTGACAAGCTGAAAATCTTTGGGGGCGGGGCTCCTCCCTTTGCTTAGTCCCTGCAGGAAGCAGGAAGGGCAGGAGAGAGCTAGCTAGCCCAGCTATGCTGACTCAAGAATTCTGGGAGTTGAAGTCCATGAGTCATAAAAGAGCCAAGGTTGCCTACCCCTGAGCTTGTTGGAGAACAGCTTGAAGCCAGCTTGCTAGATGAGCAGAAGATCAGAGAGAGGGGGGGGGAGATAGAGAGAGAGGAAAGAGAGAGGGGGGGAGGGAGGGAGAGACCAAGGGCAGAAAGAGAGAGAGGGAGGGGGAGAGAGGGGAGGGAGGGAGAGAGAAAAAGAGCCTTTTGACATTTTTGACACTGCATATATCCTTTTTACCTTTATGATATGTGTGTGTGTGTGTGTGTGTATATGTGTGTGTGTGTGTTTGTGTATACACATACATACTTACATATATCATAAAGGTAAAAAAGGATATATGCAGTGTTATCTTCATTTTAGATGTCAAAGGGGTTTTGTAGCTCCCAGTGTTTTGTTTTCAGCAGGAAATGGGTCCAAGTGGCTCTTTGAGTGTTTTGGTTCACCTACACCTGGCTTAACCAAAGTGGCAAGAAAAGTTGTAAAATGGGGCAAAATTCACTCACTTAGCAACATCAACTTTGGGCTCAATTCTGGTCATAAGTTGAGGACTATCCGTATTCCTTTTCTCCATATAGGCCATAACAATAAACTTCCATGAGTTTTTCCATTGGCGTAACACTGGCGTGGCTTTTGAAATGCGAGAAGCCACCTACGATGTCCCCAACAAAACCTTGGCATCTGGACGTCTCGTCAGACACGTGAGATCTTTCACTTTCTTAAGATGCTGGGAGCTGGCAAGGGAATTTTGGGAGTTGAAGTCCACAAATCTTCCAAGTTGCCAAGGCTGAGAAACAGTGCTCTAGATCAGTGGTTCTTAACCTGGGTGATATTGCCCCCTGGGGCGATTTCATTTTTCAGGGGGACGATGGAATGAAAAGGGGCGACAAGGGGGCAATATGGGGGCGATGGAGCGAGAAGTTTCAGGGACACTTTTGAGCCTTCCCCTAAGGCTACGAGCCTCCTCCGCCATTTGCAGAGAGAGATAGAGACAGAGAGAGGCACTTGTGCTTCTCTCTCTCTCTCTCTCTCTCTCTCTCTCTCTCTCTCTCTCTTTCTTTCTCTCTCTCTCTCGGATTTGCCCCCTCGCAGGGCTCCTGATTGGCCCTGCGCCCGTGTGCCCCGCCCCCTGGGAGAAGCACGGCCTGGAAGTCCCTTTCCCTGCTGGGCCCGTCCTAGGTGCACGTGGCCGGCGAACCGTGTGGGGAAGCCCTGGGATCCCCACTGGGAGCAGCCCGCCAGAGCCTCAGCTGAGCGGGCCAGCCTTCCCGCAAGCCGTGGCCCCAAGGGAGAGCAGCCCCTGCGATCCCCAGCCGTGGGACCGTTGGCCTGGGCTGGCCGGGAAGGCGCCCTGGAGTCCCAGCTGCTTTGTCAGCGAAGAATGTGAGGTGAGCAGAAGATGGGGGGAAGAGAAAGGGAGGGAGGAAGTATTTTTTCTAACCAGCAGCAGAAGAGCCACAGCCAGACCCGTGGGAACGCCTCCTCCTGGGGCCCGGCGCCAGTTTCCTTGCCCTTCTCCCCTTCTTCCTCCTTCCGCCCAGGACTGGGGCGGTGGCCAGCAGGGGCATCGCTTCCTTGGCGATGCTGGTGGGTCACGGATCGCCGGGAGTGCCATGTGGTGTGGAGCGGCCCCAGCTCCTCCAGCACGATGGACCTACCGGCAGCATGGGAGGCTCCAGCATTGGTCCTGGCGGGAGACAGATCGTTGCCCCGGTTCCAACCGAGGATGCCGGTGGCGCGGGAGAAGGTTTGTTGATGCAGCTGACGGGGGGCGTTCCGCGGATGCCCCACGACTTAAGCCCAGGGACGCCGGCAGCATGAGGGGAGGCTTGGCGATGCAGCCAATAGGTGGGGCATTCCACAGATGCCCCATGGCTCCGACTTGAGCCCGGGGACGCCAGCGGCATGTGGGACGGCCTGCCAACATGACCATGAGCCAGGGTGTCACCGCAGGCCCAGCGGGCAGCGGAGCTGGGTGCCTCCAGTGGCGACAGGGGGTCTTCTGCTCCCTCCTGCACCCCCCCCGCTCCTTCGGCGCCCTCTGTCTTTTGTTCTCTCTCTTTCTCCTCACCTGGAGAACGAAGGGGGGAAGGAAGGAGAGGAAAGAGAGAAAGAGAGAGGGAGAGGGAAAAGAGAAAAAGAGAAAGAATGAGAGAGGAAAGAAAGAGAGGAAGCGCAAGTGCCTCTCTCTCCCTCTCTGTCTCTCTCACACACACACACTGAGTGGGGGAAGATGACTGGCAGACCAAGGGCAGAAAGAGGGAGAGAGAGAGAGAGAGAGAGAGAGACAGAGGGGGGGGGAGAGAGAGACCCTTTTGACATCTAAAATGAAGATAATACTGAAGATATATATATAATAAAGGTAAAAAAGGATATATGCAGAGTTATCTTCATTTTAGATGTCAAAAGAGTTTTGCAGCTCCCAGTGTTTTGTTTTTGATGGGAAACGGGTCCAAGTGGCTCTTTGAGTGTTTTGGGTTGCTCACCTCTGCTCTACCCATACAGTGGCTCACCATTGGCCAGAATGGGCAGTGATGGAGGGGGGAGTGCTTCTTTCGAAACATTGCATGCTGTTTTGTGTGTCTCTTTGTATTGTACTTTTTTAGCGTGAACTCCAGTTTGATATTATATTTTCTTTGTGTCTTTTTAATCCTTTTTACAGTGTGCGTGACTATATATACTTTCCTCGAATCTTAATTTAGTTTCAGAGTTTTCGTCTTGAAATTCTTAGTTCCTGCATTGCGGTTTGTTCTTATACTCTTTTTATATTTCTTTTTGCATCTTAAATTTCTTTTGTAATTCAATCATTAAATGTTACTGTTTTTCTTTTCGGGCATTTCACTTTCTTGCAATTGAATTTTGTTTTCAGTGGTCATTACATTTAAGTGTCTTGAATAAATAATAATGAAATACATGTATCACGAAGTTTGGGAATAAAGTGACTGGTGGCACCAAAATTTTTCACACAGTTGAGATATGGCAAAAAGACTGGAAATAAATTATTTGCATCATATGTCCTGATGACAATTTTAAAGAAAACAAAAAAAGTATTTGCATAAATTGAAGAATTATTCCCTATGTTGTGATTGAGTTGTTATGTTGGGGGAGGGGGGGCGATGACAACTTCCTCATTGGCTCAATGGAGCGATTCGTTCAAAAAGGTTAAGAACCACTGCTCTAGATGATTGCCAGAGAGGGGTTCTCATTGGTGCAGTTCTGATTGGACAATAATATATTTTTATGTGAAATACAGGTAGTCCTTGACTTACCTACCATAATTGAGCCCAAAATATATTTATGTGTTTGTTTGTTTATAATATTTATTGGACCCCCATCTTACCATAGGGTAACTCTGGGCAGCTTACAGTTATAGAAATATGTCTATACGTATACAGTTAAAATGTAAATAATTAAAATCAGACATTAGAGCCTAAGGACACATGGGAAGTACGAGGGGGGGAGTAGAGTGGAGTGATTACTCAATCAACTTGATTTATGTCGCTAAACAAGACATTTATAAGTGAATTTTGACCCATTTTATGATCTTTCTTGCCACAGTTGTTAACGAATCACTGCAGTTGTTAAGTTAGTGACACTTTTTTTTGTGAATCTGTCTTCCTCATTGATTTTGCTTGTCAGAAGGTCACAAAAGGAGATCGCATGATCCTGGGACACTGCAACTGTCGTAAATACAAATCAGTTGCCAAGCATCCGAATTTTGAACACATGACCATAGGGATGCTGCAACGGTCCTGTGAAAAACTCGCATCAATTACTTTTTTCAGTGTGTTGTAATTTCAGACGGTCACTAAACAAATGGTTATAAGTCGAGAACTATCTATATACATGTTATTTAAAAATCCTACCTTTTTTCCAAGTTCGAAAGAGCACATTTCACGTCAGCTTATGCTGAGTGATAATGAGTAACAAGGGATGTAAGGAATGAGGAAATTGTATTAAAGCCACCTTACCCCAGACTAGTGGTGGGATTCAAATATGTGAACAACCGGTTCTCTGTGGGGATATTGCTTCTGAGAGTCAATTCTGGGCCTGGACAACAAAAAATTAACTACCGGTTCTACCGAAGTGGTGCGAACTGGCTGAATCCCACCATTGCCCCAGACTCTTAGCTTTCCTATGATATGTAGCAACAGAGTGAAGTGTCAAAGTGACATGTAGCCACTACTAGAATTTTCAAAGAATAAGAGAAAAGTATCTAATTCACAGCTACTCTTTCAGAAATCCTTAGAAGTTTGCTGCAATTTGATTATGTACATCCATTTTTCTAGGTATTTATTTAGAGATATATGCTAGTAGCAGATAGATCTGTTGCAGGCTCAAAGAGTAGACCTATATTTAAACTGCTTTCCTTTCAGGAGTGCTATAAATTATCTGTTTCTAATCTTTGATCCTACTTTTTTTCCCATTTTCCCAGCCATTTACTCAGTTTTCTCTACAGGATGAAAAGTCACTTTTTTATAATGGATCTTAGTAACAAAACTACAAAGAGTTTTGTGCTAGCTTCATTTACGATGTCATAAAACTTGTAATTCTCCATGTGAATGAAATATAAATATTATTCAAATTTAAAGCAGTCACAAAACTAATTTGCAACTGCCAGTTTTCCTACCATGAGACCAAAGTCCATGGTCCAAAATGAACGATGTTTTCGCACATTGACCTAATTGTCCATCTACTGAAAGGGGCACAATTTTTTTAGCAAAAGTTGGAAAAAGGGGCTGCACTTTTTGCTTTTATTAACCTAGCACAGAGTCTCCAAACCTGGCAACTTTAAGACTTCAATTCCCAGAATTCTTCAGTCAGCCATATAATGTCTAAGCTGATCAATATTTAAAGAGTTGTACATCTCATAAACATGCTACATAAATTAACAAGTTCACCATTGGACTATATTTCCTTTATGTCTGCTAAAAATGTTTTAAGGCAGGGCTCTCCAAACTTGGCAACTTTTAAGACTTGTGGACTTCAATTCCCAGAATTCCCCAGTCAGTCATGGCTGGCTGGCTGGGGAATTCTGGGAGTTGAAGTCCACAAGTCTAAAAGTTGCCAAGTTTGGAGAGCTCTGCCCTAATGCAATGCCCTTTGTCATCTTTATAATTGCTTTTTCTCCCATTCTAGCTGGGAAATCCAATTAGGAATAAAAACCAAATTAACTCATTCAGATTTCTCATCTCCCAGAAAGGGGAGCCCATCCCAGCACGGGGATATTGGGGAGATATCACCACCGGCCCATACATCACATTTGGCATTGAAGCTGAAGATCCCAGTCTGTTGAAAACCATCAACGGCCGCCCTAGTAAAGTAAGCATGATACTTTTAGAGGGGGGGGGTTAGAAATTGATATTTGTGAAAGCGATGGCTGCATCCAGGCATGGCTCAGAACAAGATTTCACGCTGGTGCACATTTTCAAGCTGATCATCTTTTCATTCACAGAATGCACAAGAAATCTCCTTGCAAAATGTCACTGCCCTATTGTATGAACTGAGATACAACACCCGCTATGACCCATCAGTACCATCTGAAGAGGGGAAAGATGATCATCTTCAGGGTGGTGGCGACTGCACTGTGTTGTGTGCCACAACAGGTACATAGCTGATTAGTGCGTTCTCTTTAAGGGGCTTACGTGGATCTTTTCTGCCAGACTCTCCAGTTCACTGTTTGCCTTTATGGCTAAGTTGATTTATATCTTGGTTTTACTCCAGGAATTCAGAGCTGATTATTACCAAATGTTTTTCTAGGGGAAGGGAGAAATTAAAGTTAATTTAGATCTTTTTAATATAGCATTATCCATTTTCTTCTGGTGCTGATATAATGCTGTAAATCACTGGCCTTTGCAACACTCTGATTTTTTGTTTGTAATAGCTGAACAAATCCATCTTCATTTTTCTAGACCTTGGTCCAACTTTTTTTGTCCTTCTCCCTTTTCACTAGTCTGTGCCTTTCCAATGCTTTAGGGCTTCCTGTGACAGAAGAGGTCCATGTCCACTTCCTGCCCCTTGACTGCCTTCCTGAACTCCATCACAAAGTCAAATATCAACAGCTTTTCAATCTCTTCTTCTTCTCTTGCAGGTAGGAATAGGATTGAACTTCCTTGCTGGGAAGCCAGGATTCTTCCTTATGGATTTTCTACTGAGATGTGGGAAATAACCAACTTCATTGGGAGCTGATCTGTCTAGAGTAGTGGTGTTACCAAATATCTATCGCCTTTGTTAGAAAGAAATGCCTCCCCACTCATCATGTTTGGTTGTTTCACAAATTTCATGATACAGCCAATGTTCTGTTCCAAACAAGAGATTTGCTTTATTCTCCAGCATGCAGGGAATGTAGAATCCACGAATGGGTTGTTTTAGTCTTCTAGCCCAATCAGACCAAACAATCAAATTTGCCACGCCCCTACAGGGTCTGATTATGCCCCAGTTTCGTTTGGTCTCAGCACTGAAGGCACGTGAAAATTTGGCTCCCGATTTAGTTGAGAAAGGTAGTAATTACCATTTGTGGATTCTTTACCGTTTTTTCCCTTTTTTGGAAGATTGGTTCAGCCCTGGGCTCAGTGCTGCACCATATCCTCTTATTCTAAATCAAATTCCCTTCTCCATTAACTCTTTGAGACAGCCTCCGCACAGCGATTCCCCCCCCCCAACATCATCACTGTGGAAACGAAGCCATCAAAATTGCCAGCCCCTTCTAAAGACTTGAATTTGACTTTTCTAGCTTCCTTTCTTGGTCAAATGGCGGCAGGTGCCATTTTGAGCCTCTAGGCAGATCGTTCTTCATGGGGGGGGCAGTTCAATCTCCTTTGCTATTTCTAGTTGCTACTCAGCTCCAGAATCGACTTAAATTCACAGGTAGTCTGTCTGGCCAAGATCACTACTGGGTTCCTTACAGAAGAGGACCTCTTTTCCTCAGCTTGTGTTTTTTTCTGTGATCAGATAGTCGCGGCTGCCATTTTGGGCTTCCGCGCGATCGCGCGCCATTAATTAGATTGCCTGGCATTTTTACAACTTTCTCAGTTGTATAGTATCTATAACAATCTGATTGATTTGAGTGTTATTTCTTGCGTGGGGGGGCACAGGAGCTCTTAATTCACTCCTCATGGATTAGGACCCTTCTTACCTCTCTTCCTCAGCTTCTTGGTAGACACCATTTTAAATTACTTCGTGGCCATAGCAGAAATATCTTGAATCTTTCACTCTTCTAACTTGTAGTATTAAATACATACAGCCCTGCTTATCTGTCCTTCTCAAATATCCAGTGTCGCAAATAGTACTGCTGCTTGCTTCGCCTGTTTTCCACTGTCTACATTTAGTGATCGGCAGTTACTGTCCTAGCCGTCATTAAGTGAGACATGAGGGTAAAAAAAAATTAAATTAAATTCAAATTTTGTGTGTGTGTGTGTGTGTGTGTGCCTATATAGATTTATCATTAATTGACATTTGATATATTATCGGCCCAATTGTCTCACTATTACAGTGGGCCTGAAAAATTGAACGGGGAGGACAGCCCGAGTGCAGCGCGGCTTATATCGTGTAGTGACTCTGTGCTTTACGGTGGGCTGGACCCCACAGACCCTCGTGTACGCCTGTACCACTCAGGTGGGCCGTGGCCTTTTTTTTCTCCTGCAGATCAGGACCAATCCAGGGATCTCCTGGTGAAAATCTGCCTTTTATTCTCCTGCAGACCAGGGCTGATCCAGGGATCTCCTGGTGAAAATCTGTTTCCTGTTGCTTGTTTCAATATGGCGGATTTCACAGGCTTCTACCTCCAGTGGAAATGCAAAACGCAAGTCACCCAGTCAGGAGGCATCTGCTAAGGCCAAGGCCAAGGTTAAACGGACCTCTAAGTTAGCTGATAAGCAAGCAGATAGCAGGCACAAGGCACTGGAACGACAATTTTCTAAGGCCCAGCAACGTGTGGCGGAGACACAACCTGTCTCCATCTCCCCTCGTGCGTCCACATCAGGGGAACTTTGACCTTCCCCTTTTCCACGCACTTGGTCCCCCGAGCAAAACCCTGGATCAGGGGTCCTTGCTTGGATACGATTGGGACCAACTGTCTCTCTTTGATCAGGATTTGAGAATACAGATCCAAGATTCAATTCCAGTCACCGAACCTGGCCCATCCTTGATGTGATGTGGGTCTCAGCTGTTTACTACAGCTCCCCCTCCTCAAATTCCATCAGCATCTTTCACCCCGATGGCGGTGGGCCTATGGGGTCCTGAGCATCCTTCATTCACTGCCCAACTCCAGGCCATGATCCCACAAGTGGTGGCTCAGGCAATGGCGTCCTCAGGCAGGGCCATTTCGGTCCCAGAACTGTCAAATCCTCCTACGCCCACAGAAACTACGCATTCCAGGGAGTATGTGATCTCAGATCACAGTTCTCCACCTCAATCTGAAGGGAGCGAGGTATCAGAGTATTCCGCGCAGATTCCCGAAGAAGCCATGTGGTCGGACGAGGAAGACACTCAGGCAGAGCCCACTCCTATGGTAGGAATGTTTAACCCAAATTCGTTCCATTCATTCTTGCGCAAAGCTTATGTCACTGGCAAGATTGAACCGGTGAAACCACAAACGATCACTCAGGACTCTGGTCAGAGTTCTGACCCACTGTTTCTGGAACCAGTCACAAAGAACCTGCAGATACCTTGTCCTCCTATGTTTTTAAAATCCATTCAAGATCAATGGGGATCTCCGGGAACATTCTCTGCTCTTGGGGGAATAGATCGTAAACTCTTGGATATGGTCCCTTCCCTCAATGATGTCCTTGAAGTTCCGGGAGTAGATGAGGCTCTCACTCCCATACTATCAGACAGGAGATATGTCGGAGGCCCTTAAGGCTGAGGACAAGAAATCTGAGATCTCCTTCCGCAGGCATTGGCATGGGCTATAAAAGCCTCAACATCTAACTCCTTCTTCGCCAGAATCTCACTAATGTGGCTCCGGGAATTACAGGCTAGGATATCCCCAGACAAGGTAAGGGTGCACCAGGATGTCACTAAGTTGAGGGCCGCACTGGAATACATGGCGGATGTGTCTCTGCAATCGGCCAAATATTCGGCTCGAGCCATAGCTTCCAACGTGGCTGCACGTAGGCTGTTCTGGCTTAAAAATTGGAAGGCCGACACCAGGCACAAATGGAGAGTGGCTGCGGCACCATAACAAAAGGGTCGCCTTTTTGGGGAGGCTCTTACTCCTTATCGGGTTGAAAACAAAGAAAAGATCAAGGTACTATCTCACATTGTCAAAAAGACGGGCAGATGCTTTTCACCGTACAATCGCCGTCCATCGTTTAAGTCTGATTCAGACCGAACTTCCTGGAGCGGGTATCAGCCCTTTCAAGTGGGGCTGGAACGCTCCTCGGACCGGTCCGGCTACAGAGACAAGCCAAAGCCACAATTCCAGCTAAGCAGCCCTTTTGTGGCAGAGGAAGTCATCCTTTCCGAAAGTCAAAGTGACTCGAGGCGGAGTCCACCCATCGGCAGAAGACTGGCACTTCCACAAATGGGAAAGCACTACCACGGACACCTGGGTTCTCACTACCATCAGAGACAGTCTGTCTCTGGAATTTCTAACCCTCCCTCCCAGGCGCTTCATCACCTGCCCCCTATCGCGAAATCCTGTAAAACAAGGTCTCATGGAAGAGGCCATTCATAATCTGTTAAGCGTAGAGGCAATAGAGCGGGTACCCCTAGATCAATGAGGACTCGGTTTTTACTCCATCCTGTTCATGGTACCAAAGGCCTCGGGAGGATGGAGGGCAATCCTAGATCTCAAAGTCCTAAATTCGTTCCTAGTGTACCACAAATTCAAGATGCAAACTCTTCATTCCATTCTAGGCAGCATTCGGCCGGGGGATTTTCTCACATCCATAGATCTGATGGAAGCTTACCTGCACATTCCCATACATCCGGGTCACAGACGGTTCCTCAGATTCAGATATTCCAACCATCACTATCAGTACAAGGCCTTGCCGTTCGGCTATCATCAGCTCCAAGGGTTTTCACTAAAATCCTGGCGGTTCTCGCCGCCCACCTCAGGTTAGTACCAGTCCGCGTTCAGTGCTACTTGGACGATATCCTAATCCAGTCGTCCTCGGCACTGAACGCCCGATCAGACATGGCACTGACGATCAGGACGCTCCAAGATCATGGCTTTATGATCAACTTTCAAAAGAGCCATTTGATCCCAACAAACCGTTTGCTCCACTTGGCGCAATAATAGATACCAACCAGTGCAAGGTTTTCCTGCCTCAGGAGCATCAGGTCAGTATACGCACCATGATCACCAAGGTGCGCAAGGAAAAATGTGTGACCCTATTTCTGCTTTCACAGCTGTTAGGGAAACTGATCTCATGTATTGCCATAGTGCCTTGGGCCAGGCTTCACACGAGACAACTACAGTGGTTCCTACTCCCCTACCAGAAACGAGGGGTAGCCTGCTTTCCAAAGAGGGCGTGAGTCCCAGCACAGACACTCACGTCCCTTATCTGGTGGATGTCCCTGGCATTGTCCAAGGGGTCCCTGTTCCGAGAACTGACTCGAATAACCTTAACCATGGATTCCAGTCTGTTTGGATGGGGGCACATTTACATCTTCAATTTGCCCAGGGGCGGTGGTCTCAACGGGATCTCAAGAAAAGCATAACTTGGTTAGAACTCAGAGCCATATACCTGGCACTTCGCCATTTCCACAGGAAGGTGGCAGGCAGCCACGTGCTGGTTCTGACGGACAACATGGCGGCAAAGGCCCATGTCAACAGACAGGGTGGCACTCGATCTCAGACTTAATGCCCAAAGCCCAGCATCTGGGGTCATGGGCAGAACGGAATCTGTTGTCCCTAAAAACGGAACACATACTAGGGGTGGAGAACCAGCAGGCAGATTTCCTGAGTCGATCTATGATAGATCATTCGGAATGGCATCTGCATCCCCGCCTTTTCCGAGAGATTACTCACCGTTTCGGTCGGCCCAGCATCGACTTGTTTGCATCCCCGGTGAACGCCCAGCTTCCCCACTTTCTATCTCGGTACCCATCTCAGGGTTCGGAGGGAGCAGACACCCTCCACAGTCCGTGGCCGGCGGGCCTCCTATATGCATTCCCACCTCTTCCTTTGATCCCGGCCGTCATCCGGAAGCTGTTACAAGAACGAGCGGAGCTAATCTTTGTGGCCCCGTATTGGCCGAGGCGTCCATGGTTCGTGGATCTCGTGAACCTCGCCATAGCTCCCCCTTGGCATATCCCTCCAGAGAGAATAATTCTAACGCAAGGGGCCATACGGCACCCAGATCCGCAGTGGCTTTAACTAGCCATCTGGCATCTGAACGCCAGTTCCTGATGCATGGATCTTACTCTTCAAAAATGATATCTATGATCCAAGCTTCTAGACGGCCGGCAACGAACCGGATTTATGATGCTACTTGGAAGAACTTCTTTGACTGGTGTACCTGTAAGGGTTTGTCTGTTTCTTCCATCACTATTCCAGTGATTCTTGAATACCTCATGGATGGAGTGGATAAGGGTTTAGCGCCCAACACCCTCCGTAGGCAGGTGGCCACTCTTTCTACGATGTTCACCTGTGCCAACTCCATTCCATTGTCTCATTGTCCCAGAGTTCGGTCTTGTATGAAAGGAGTCTCCAACACCAGACCTCCGGTAGTACACGGGTATCCCTCTTGGGAACTACCTCGAGTTCTACAGGCACTCACAAGATCTCCCTTTGAACCTATTAGGTCTTGTCCTCTTCGTATTTTGTCACATAAGGTGGCCTTCCTAGTGGCCATTACGTCGGCGAGACACGTATCAGAGCTGGCTGCTCTTTCAGTTAGGGAAGACCTATGTACCTTCCACCAGGATAGAGTGGTGCTTAGGTTAGATCCCTCGTTCATTCCCAAGGTGAATTCACTTTTTCACCAGACTCAGGAAATTGTACTACCAAACTTTTGTCCCAATTCTTCTCACACACTAGAGAAGCAGTGGCATTCCCTAGACGTACGCAAGGCACCGCGTTATTACATTAAGAGAACAGCTCCTTTTCGAAAATCGGAGGCATTATTTGTATCTTTCCACACAGTTTCCAAGGGACAGAAGGTTTCATCTTCCACTATAGCCAGGTGGATTAAAGCCTGTATCACTCAGTCTTACCAGGCTTACTCTTTGCTTGTCTCTAGTCGCCTGACAGTGCATTCTACTCGAAGTACTTCCACGTCAGCAGCATGGCAAACTCAGGCATCCATTGAGGACATCTGTAAGGCGGCTACGTGGTCATCCCCTTCACCATTCATTTGCCACTACAAGCTCAACAAGTTTGCTTCCACAGAGGCCGCTTTTGGCCGTCGGTATGGTCCATTTCCATACCGACACTTAACCAATCTGCTTCCCACCCGTGGGATCATAGGGGCTTTGGTATGTCCCATTCGTGGATTCTACATTCCCTGCATGCTGGAGAAGGGGTGTTGTCTTACCTGAACGCCTTTTCTCAGCATGAGGAATGTAGAATCCACCCCCTCCCTGATCATTATTAGCAATTAGGTTAGTATCAGCAGTTCGGGAGCCATCACGTCTCACAATCATTAGCTTTGCCCTTTCGAAACTGGGGCATGCTCAGACCCTGTAGGGGTGTGGCAAATTTGATTGTTTGGTCTGATTGGGCTAGAAGACTAAAACAACCCATTCGTGGATTCTACATTCCTCATGCTGAGAAAAGGCGTTCAGGTAAGACAACGCCCCTTCCTGCTTGACACAGACAGATTAACTCCAAAGACAGATTAATATTCAGATTATTTATTCTTCAGGAATCTCTAAACAATAACAGTTTAGTTCTTCTGAGGCACACATCATAATCTGTCTATTCTTGTGGTGTAAAAAATTAAAGATAAATTCACCCCATGTTCGTACGGAGCAAAAGAAGTTGTGGCTGTACTACACAAAACTTTTCATACTGGCACGTAGCCAGGAAATCCTGTCATAAAACATTGAAGTCCCTCTCAATGACCAATCAGAACAGAGATATAACCATGTAACACTAAACTACATTTCCCAGAAGCCATCTCTTAAGGAGACAGCATTTAACCCCTTAAATGCTACTTGTATATGCTCTGGCCAGATAGTTACATACTACTCTACAAACTCTTTTACAGGTAGTTCTCAACTTATGACTGGTTACTTAACGACCATTCCAAATAGCATCAGCCTTGAAAAAAGTTACTCCTAATCTGTCTCAGAGTTACAACTGCCGTACCACCCCACGGTCATGAGATTGCATGTCACAAAAAATGCCCTCAGATGTCCTCTGGATAGGCTGGATATACCTAATAATAGGCAAATAGGCTTGCTTAATAATCACATCATTCATGTAATGACCACATTGGCTCACTTTATGACTATCATAACCATGATTGCAAAAATTGACTCAATGTGGTGACTCAACTTATGACTGCAACAACGTATGACCAAAATTTTGGGCTCCACTATGGTCATGGATCGAGGACTACATGTATGAATTTTTTAAAGTTACTTTAAGCTATCCACATTTAAAATCATGCCTCCTTAAGATACCATGTGAAAAGAACACATTTCAGTCAATATAACAATGCAGGTTGTTGCCACTGTTACCATGTATATCTCAGCATAATGAGACAAGTGGAATTTTGGGGAAATTCAATTAGTATTTTTCTAAGTTGATAAAGAAAAACCTCATAATTGCATTAGAACCACTTCAGATCAAGCGGAGGGACCAAGATAGTCTTCCTTCCAATTACATTCATTTCTTCTTTGTTTGCGTTTTTTGTAGCATGGTGCATTATCTTAAGCCAAATCTGAGTCTGGTGTCAGCTCCAAAAGCCACTCTTATTGTTGAGTTAACAAAGTAAGTTTTGCTTTTTTCATTCTCTCATTTCCAGCAGGACAAGGAAACCTCCACATTCTAGGCTACGGTTGCAATTTTTTTCAGAATTGCTGTCACCCGTGTTTCTTTCCATTCAGCTGCTTTGCTTGTATGGGTAATGCTCGACTTATGACCACAATTGACCCCAAAATTTATGTTGCTGAATGAGATCTTTATTAAGTGAGTTTTGCCCCATTCTACAGCTTTTCTTTCCATAGTTGTTAAGTGAATTGCTGCCATTGTTAATAACCTTGTTGTTAAGTGACTCTGGCTTCCCCATTGACTTTGCTTTTTCAGAAGGTCGCAATGATCCCAAAACACTGCAACTGTCATAAATATGAACCGGTTGCCAAGCATCCAAATTTTGATCACATGTCCATGGGGACGCTGCAACAGTCGTGTGAAAAATGGTCATGTCATTTTTTTCAGTGCCGTTGTAACTTTGAACGGTCACTAAACAAACTGTTGTTAAGTCGAGGACTACCTGTACAGATTTATACTAGGTAGTCCGGGACAATCAACTTCATGAACAATTTCTATAATATGTTTATACAAAAAATTACAACTTCATTCAGTCAATATTTAGGAATTATGGGAGTTGAAATTCACTCATCTGCAGGACACCAAGGTGGAGAAGGTTAGCAAAGCAGCTGCTTGCCTACCACCACCAAACAAGGCTAAAATAAAGTAGATAGACAAGTGGCCTGACTCAGCAGAAGCCCCTTTAATGACGAGTAGTCAATTTATAATTGAAATTTGATGTGTTGAAGCAATCACAAGGTTTGCTAGCCTATATAAATATTTAAAAATTTAGTTTGGCTAAATTATTTTTGAAGTAGAGAACTGTAGTCCACTTCAATTTATGTACTTTGATATAATCTATCTCCATGCGTGCTACCTGTAAACTTGTTTGTCACATGTGCTTGGCCATTCTTGTGAGGGCATCAGTTATAGACAGACTTGTCCTTAGAAGTTAGAAGGCTTGTAAGTGGAGTGGAAGCCTTCCCTGCAATGACATCATAGTCGTAAAAACTTTTCAGGAGCTTGTCTTGTTGAGTTTTTGGTGCCAAGCTAAGAATCTTCCTACACAGCCTTGTCACCCTGCCATGATGTCCATTTATCATTATCGCTTTTCTCATCGGCCTAAAGAGAACTTTAAAAGTCTTATGGAAGAGAAGTTTTCCAGGTTATACTGAGTCAAAGCTTTCTATGTGGACAATCTAGATAGTATGACCCAGGTCCCCTAGGCACAGGCAGGCTTCGATAGAGTCCTTTATTGCTCTGTTAACTTCCACAACAAATGGCCCTACAACTGCCAGTAAGACTCTACCCCAAACTTCCTTGAAGGCAGTCTCCCACAGGCCTACAAACAAAAGCCAATAAGCAACAAAACCAATTTGCAAAGGCAGGGAGAAGGTCCAAAGACAAGGTGTAAGTTCACGGGGCAAGGTCCATAGGGCAAGGCAAATCCACAGGGGAAGGCAAGTCCACAGAGCAAAGGCAAGTCCACAGGGCAAGTCAAGTCCACAGGGCATGGCAAGGCCATAGGGCAAGGCAAGTCCACAGGGCACGGCAAGTCCACAGGGCAAGGCAAATCCACAGGGCAAAGGCACAAGGCAAGACAAAGGAAGAAATATGAGTCAAGGCTGTTTTTCCAAGACCAGGGGAGTGCATGCCAAAGCAACAATTGTTCCCAATAAAGACAATCTCCCCCAGGCTCTGCTTAAGTCAACCCAAGCCAAGTGTTCCTTGTGAGGAGGAGCAGGGTGACCTTCTCCCAAGTAGCCCCATAGCCCTCCTTTGAGCCTGCCTCCACTCTTCTCTCCACACCCTTGGATCAAGTGGGGGAGGCAGCTATTCCTCATCAGAGGGGATCTGCTGCCTCTCAGCACCACTACCTCCCCTGTGTTGGTGACAGCAGGCAGCTTCTCATCCGGTAGACCACCTCCCCCAATGCCTGAAGGGCCTGGGATAGCATTGTCCTCAGCCTCTGGCCTCTCCACGCATTCCAGGGGAGAGGTGCCATCTCAGTCAGATGTTCCCAGTTCCAACTCCTCCTCCAAACCAGGATCCGATGAAGCCTTGACACTAGGATGCCTGGTGGCCTAAGTTGATGCAGTTGAAGATAGTGGTCTGTTCAAGTCCAAATGGTCCAGCATGTCTGCTGTGGAATTAGTTCTTTACAACCTATGCCTAGAAATCAGCATTACAGTTTGTGTATATGTGTCTGTGTATATGTGTTTTCAAATGGACAGCTTTGAACAATCAGACCAAAACAGCCAACAGATGCACCTATATAGGTCCTACTGTTGAAGACCATTTCAACACCCCCAGACCACCCACTTTATTGATACAGTAAATTGGGTGGTCTGGGATGCTTTTGTATTGGATGTACCAAAGAGTATCCAGCAACTAAGCAAATTTCTTCCATGCCCCAAAGACTCTAAGAATGCTTCTACAGCAGCTGCATCCAGGGCACACAACTTCCAGCAACCACAAGGGGGCACTCAAGAGAGGTGAACCCCTTGCTTGCCTCTAGCTGTCATTAAATTGATAGACTGACAGCTCAGGGCGGGAAGGGAGCAGGAAAGAAGTTGATTAGATGGAGTACTTGGAGTGGACAAGGACCACCCCAGGACACATTCTATGGAAGAGTGATTAGTAAGGTCCTTTATCACAGTTGGTGACATTCAGATTTAGCCCTGGCAAGCCACCCATCACTGCCCTTACAACATTGCATGCTGCACCTGTACAGATAGCAGCACAACAAAGTCTTTTCTGGATGAATATCAGTGGCAACCAGGAGGACAGCAAAATTAAGGGCAGTAGTTCTTCCCAATTCCATGGCAAGAAAAGAGTATGGCAAAACTGGTTGTGTAAATAAGCACTAAAGTCAATTTCCTTCTACCTCTAATGGCTGCTGATACGGTTTTTAGCTGTTTAGCTCCCTTTGGGATGTTGGGTTACAATTTTCTCTGCTGTAATTTTTAATATCTTTTGAAAATAGTCTTATTACATTACAAAATAATGCAATAAGTATCTGGCTTCTCTGCCGAGTGAATACATCATTTGCTCATTAAGCAAACAATGTATTAAAACAAATAACCCAAAAAAATAACAGAAAGATATTTTTTTCCTTAATTAGAGCAGCTTGATGTATAAGTTAGATAACTGAATGGTTACCAGGACACAAACAGCTCACAATCTTTCCTTGTCAATTTGTGTGTTCTGCTTGTAGCTTCTTGCCTGACCTCCGCAAAGAACAAGTCTCCGAGTTCTCTTCCCGAGTGACTCGTCTGGCAACAGATGCAGGATTTGTTCCAGTGGAAACAGACAAAAAACCTTTTTCTTTGTTTCAACTTGGAGACCAGGAGATTGAAGATAACCCCCATGAGATAATGCCACCAGAGATGGCAGTCCCTGGTCCTTGAGGCTACCGTTTTATTATACATTAATTTTTAATGGTCCTTTAATAAAATAGATTCTTGTTGAAAATTGCCATATTTGTTGATCAGTGTCTCGATTATCAGATCAAGAGAAGGAAAATGCATGTTTCTGAAACAATCTTATCTAATGTTTCACAACCCTATTAGCTTTCAGATGAGTGAACTTCAACTCCCAGAATTCTCTTCTGAGAGTTGAACTTCACACATCTGAAAGTGGACATGGTTGAGCAATACTGGTCTTATCTTTGAGATGCGTGGAAGAATGTTATATGCACTCATATGTAACTTGCTTCTTGCCTCTAGACATGGTAGACTGTTCTTTTAGTACATCAACATCAATGGGTTATCTTCACCCAACAACTTAATCCTGTTCTCAAGGCCAGTTCATACAACCAGCCAAGCCTGTTTCCCAGTAATGCAGGGGAAAAAATGTCTCCCTCTTCATGTGTCAATAGGTCTGTTGGATTCTTCCCTAAATATTTCAAGGCAGTGGTTTTCAAATGCACAGTTACCTCTAACTTCCTCCATAGAAAAATCAGCAGTGGAAGATAACAATGAAAATTTCTCATAAAGATGGTTTGCCTGCTACTTCTAATCCCCCTACTCCTTTGTAGGGTAAAGCTGTAAAGCATGTCCATTTCACAGAGAGGGACAATGAGGTCTCATCAGCCTCAAGGGAACATTGTTTAACCTAACCCTTTTCTCCAGAACCTGGCAAACTGATAAGAACGGGAGAGGATTCCTTGAAATCAGCAATCTTTCTGAAATGCTGCTCTGATGCCTTTGTTGGTCTCTTGCTTTCAATGTAAAAAGCAATGTAAAATATCCAGACTATTCTGGGCCGACTGCAGTCTTAAGAACCGCACCCGTGAATCAATGAATATTAAGAGCTGTGTTGTGATGACACAGAAGGGTCGCTTTTCCTGGCCTGTTGTTAAGTACAGCTTTGTCTTGCTCTTTCACCCAAGTGACTCAGAACAAGCTGTGTATTCTCTGAAGTTTTTCCTTCTCAGTAATCCTGACAGATAATTTAGGCTGGCACTTATTTGGCTCAGAAAACTTTGGGGAGATTGTAACATCAGTCTATCCAATTGCAGATCCATTCTAAACAAAAAAAAAAAAATTACATCAACTCTAGGAATTGATTGCTGTCTTTTTCCAGCATAGCATGTTACTATTTGAAGCAGGCAAACGCAGTGCCAGTTCCCTAGGTAGCAGTATCAGACGCAGCACAGCAGCAGCTGCTAAAACAGACTACAAATCTACTCAACCCCATCTTCAGGCACTCTGAAAATCATCCACAATCTCAGCATTGTAGTTCATATTCAGATAAGGGAAAGTTCTACATCTTCCCCAGCCTGGAAGTCTCCAGAAGGATTAAAGTTACAGCCAGGGTATCAGCAAGGATGACTCAAAAAAAGACAAGATGGCAGAGTCTGTGGAGATTCTCAATCATTCAGGTCATGGTTGTCCCAAAGGTGCTTTTTCAACAGGCAACAGGACTTCCTTGTTTTTTCTTTGAAGACATTTTGCTTCTCATCCAAGAGGCTCATTCAGCTCTGACTGGATGAGAAGAAGCTTCTTCAGCTCCAAGTGGCCTCAAAGATTCTCTAAATGAATGCAAATGACCAGCTGTCTGCAAGGAATATAAATCCTTCCGTTCCCCACCATCCAGTCAGAGCTGAAGAAGCTTCTTGGATGAGAAGCAAAACATCTTCGGAGAAAAACAAGAAAGTCCCGTTTCCTCTTGAAAAAGCACTTTTGGGTCAAGATGGCAGCCAAAATCAGAGGCAGCGCTTCAATTGCATAGTTGTGGCTAACGTCTTGACTTGGTCGATGCCCACCTTCTTGCAGGTATTGCTGACTACAACTCCTAAAATCCCCAGCTAAGATGAGAATATTATTGGACATGCTAGCTGGGAATTCAGAAAGTTTTAATCTTGGCACATCCAAAGGAAAGGTTGGGAATAATTGATTGCTCCTCAGTACTTGCTCACACTCTTGTATGCATCTCTTATAAAGTGCCATGGACACCGGTATCTTTAGTCCATAGTGGCCATGAGTAACACAGAGACTTATGCTTGTACAGGTGTGCCTGGTCACTCCAAGTGTAGAGCATTTTCATAAACAGGTTTTACAAGATCACATTTTGGAGTTTATCTTACTCCCCTCAATTGCTTCTGCAAGTCATGGGCAAACTTGGAACCGGAGTTTGAACGTATAGGTAATCCTCGGTTTACGACCACAATTTCTGTTGCCAAGTGAAACATTTGTCAAGTGAGTTTTGCCCCATTTTACGGCCTTTCTTGCCTGTTGTTAAGTGAATCACTGCAGTTAGTAACAGGGTTGTTACGTGATTCTGCCTTTCCTATTGACTTTGCTTGGCAGAAGATCACAAAAGGTGTTCATGTGACTCCAGGACACTGCGACCATCATAAATATGAACCAATTGTAAAGCATCCAAATTTTGATCACGTGACCAAGGGGATGTTGCAACGGTCTTAAGTGTAAAAAACACCATAAGTCCCTTTTTTCAGTGCTGTTGTAACTTTGATCGATCATTAAATGAACTGTTGTGATCTCCTTGCTTTAGATGGGCTACAGGAGAGAGTTGGAATTAGAGGGACAGCAGTTAGCCAATACCAGCCTTTCTATTTGGGGCTCTGTCCACCTAAGTCAGTCCTCCATCCTTTCCATCCTTCTCTTAGGCTTATCAGGGCCATTCTTATCAGAGAAATGCATTCCTCTCTCCTTCTTCCCTAAAAGGTTTGGCTGATGCTCGACAGCTCTCTTTATAAAAAACCACCAGCCATTTTGATGCCCACACTTCACCGGGAAACGGTTCCTTTGCTGGCTGCTGCTCTCCAGGTAAATCAGAGGGACGATTCAGTTTGCTTTGGGGGAGCGGAGGGGGGTTTTCCAATTACCTAAGTTATCCCTTTCCTTAGTTGAAAAATAGATAATGAGGAAACAAGCAGTACAGTAGCTTGTTACAACCTTATGCTTTGACCTTTCTTGATCCTTCGGAAGAGCAGCAAAGATGATCAGGGGACTGGAGGCTAAAACATATAAAGAACGGTTACTGGAATTGGGTATGTCTAGTTTAATGAAGAGAAGGATGAGGGGGGACATGATAGCAGTCTTCTAATATCTCAGGGGATGCCACAAAGAAGAGGGAGTCAAGCTATTCTCCGAAGCACCTGAAGGCAGGGCAAGAAGCAATGGATGAAAACTAATCAAGGAGAGAAGCAAGCTAGAACTAAGGAGAAATTTCCTGACGGTTAGAGCAATTAATAAATGGAACAATTTGCCTCCAGAAGTTGTGAATGCTCCAACACTGGAAGTTTTCAAGAAGAGATTGGACAACCATTTGTCTGAAATGGTATAGGGTTTCCTGCCCAAGCAGGGGGGTGGACTAGAAGACCTCCAAGATGCCTTCCAAGTTTGTTATTCTATTCTATTCTATTCTATTCTATTCTATTCTATTCTATAGATCAGAGCACCTTCCCCACCCCACCTTTTCCATATGGGGACAGAATATTCAAAATGAATGAAATAAATGTCCTCCCCCCGATCTAACCAGAGTTAACCCTATTATTGTAGAATGACAATTTCTTCAAATCTTAATCCTGAATTTTAAAGGCTGTGGGGAGATTTTTGTTGCTGCTGTCCTTTAACCGCTGCTTCTTCGTTCCTCCTGCCTTTTATATTGATGAGTATGCCTTGTTCCCTTATTAACCAGCCACACTGAGACCCCTTCAAGTCAATAAGGAATATCACTATGGGGAAGGGGCATCATTTTTTTAGTCTGGCTATGAAAAATTTATCTTGGAGTGCACAGTGGGGGGCGGTTCCTGAACCTCATCAGTGTATTGGAATTAGGTATTTTCTGGCAGATGCCAAGGCCAGAGCAATCTGGCATGACCTCAGCTGAAGGGGTCGGTGGGCAAGGCTCAATGGGAGCCAGTTACTTGGAAGGGCGAACATGATCACCAAAGAAAACTCTGATCCAGCCTCGGCCCCACTGGCTGAACTTAAATAGACCTGTTTTTGTTTTGAGTAAGTCTTGATCCTGGCAAGTACAGGTAGTCCTTGACTTACGACCACAATTGAGCCCAAAATTTATGTTGCAAAGTGAGACACTTGGTAAGTGAATTTTGCCCCATTTTACGATTTTTCTTGCCACTGTCGTTAAGCGAATCATTGCAGTTGTTAAGTTAGTAACCTGGTTGTTCAGTGAATCTGGCTTCTCTGTTAACTGTGCTTGTCAGAAGGTCACAAGAGGTGATCACATGACCCGGGGACATTGCAACCGTCATAAATTGCCACGCATCCAAATTTTGATCATGTGACTGAGGGGATGCTGCAATGGTCATAAGTGTGAAAAAATGGTCCTAAGTCAGTTTTTCTAGTGCCGTTGTAACTTTGAATGGTCACTAAATGAACTGTGGTAAGTGGAGGACTACTTGCACATTGACAAGTCCATGTATTTTTTTGGCAAGAGAAGCGTCTTGCTGTTGCCTTCTTCCTGGGGTTGAGAGAGAGTTAATGGCCAGCTGATTTCCATTCCATATATAAAGAACCCATCAGCCTGACCTCAATATCTGGGAAGATTCTGGAAAAGATAATCAAATAACAGATCAGCGAACACCTCCTAGAGGCAAACAAAGTCATTACCAAAAGCCAACATGGGTGTGTCAAAAACAGATCATGCCAGACAAATCTTATTATATTCTTTGACCAAGTGACAAAATTAGTGGACCAGAGGAATGCGGTGGATATAATTTACTTGGACTTCAGTAAGGTATTTGATAAAGTAGATCACAACCTACTATTTGATAAAATAGAAAAGTGCGGGTTAGACAGCATCACCACTAGATGGATCCGTAGCTGGCTGACCGGTCATACTCAGCGTGTGGTCCTCAATGGAACCACATCTACAGGGAGGGAAGTGTGTAGTGGGGTGCCCCAGGGCTCTGTTCTGGGCCCAGTGCTCTTCAACATCTTCATCAACGATTTAGAGGAAGGGATAGATGGGGAACTCATCAAATTTGCAGACGACACCAAGCTGGCAGGAATAGCCAACACTCCAGAAGACAGGCTTAGGATACAGGAGAATCTGGACAGACTTGAACACTGAGCGCTATCTAACAAAATGAAATTCAGTGGTGAAAAAAGTAAGGTTCTACATTTAGGCAAGAAAAACCAAATGCATAGATATAATATAGGAGGTACCGTGCTCAATAGTAGTAACTGTGAGAGGGATCTCGGACTCCTAGTGGACAATCATTTAAATATGAGCCAGCAGTGTGCTGCAACTGCCAAAAAAACTAACACAGTGCTGGGCTGCATTAACAGAGGGATAGAATCAAGATCACGTGAAGTATTAATAACACTTTACAAGGCCTTGGTGAGGCCACACTTGGAATACTGCATCCAGTTTTGGTCACCACGTTGTAAAAAAGATGTTGAGACTCTAGAAAGAGCACAGAGAGGAGCAACAAAGATGATTAGGGGACTGGAAGCTAAAACATATAAGAAACAGCTGCTGGAATTGGGTATATCTAGTTTAATGAAGAGAAGGACGAGGGGGGACATGATAGCAGTGTTCCAATATCTCAGGGGCTGCCACAGAGAAGAGGGAGTCAAGCTATTTTTTAAAGCGCCTGAAGGCAGAATAAGCAGCAATAGATGGAGACTAACCAGAGAGAGAAGCAACCTAGAACTAAGGAGAAACTTCCTGACAGTTAGAACAATTAACCAGTGGAACAACCTGCCTCCAGAAGCGGTGAATGCTCCAACACTGGAGGTTTTTAAGAAGAAACTGGACAGCCATTTGTCCGAAATGGTATAGAATTACCTGCCTGAGCAGGGGGTTGGACGTGACCTCCAAGGTCCCTTCCAACTTTATTATTACTATTTATTATTATTATTATTATTATTATTATTATTATTATTATTATTATTATTATTATTATTATTATTATGGATCATCGCACAGTCAGCCAGATGTTCAGACTGGATTTGGCATTTTGTCTACCTATCGAGTCCTTACCCAGGACCTGGGATAGGCAGATGTGGATGTTTGATGGTATTACAGGTATCGTCGCAGGATGGAAGCAGTTCCTAGTAAGGCCACCTTTTGCAATTGACTAATAGCGAATTTGTCAATGCCAATGGTGTTCAAGTGGTGCTCCAGTTGTTTTGGGACTGCACCCAAGGAGCCTATTACTATTGGTACTACCCTTGCTTGCTTTTGCCACAGTCTTTCTATTTCTATTTGTAGGTCTTTGTATTTTGTTATCTTCTCCAGTTCTTTCTCGTCTATTCTGCTGTCTCCAGGCACTGCCACGTCCACTATCCAGACTTTTTTGTCTTTCTTATCGACAATTGTTAAGTCTGGGGTGTTATGTTGCAGGTGCTTGTCTGTTTGAATTCCGAAGTCCCAGAGCAGTTTAATTTTATCATTTTCTATGACTTTCTCTATTTTATGATCCCACCAGTTTTTGCTTACAGGCAAATGATATTTTTTGCAGATCTTCCAATGCACCATTTTTGCTACTTTGTCATGCCACTGCTTGTAGTCAGTCTGTGCAATCTTTTTGCAACAACTTATATTATTATTATTATTATTATTATTATTATTATTATTATTATTATGAGGGAATCAAGCAGGATAAGAAACAATGGTTGGAAACCGATCAAACAGAGAAGCAACCTGGAATTAAGGAGAAACTTCCTAACAGTGAGGACAATTAACCAGTGGAACAGCTTGCCTTCAGAAATCGTGGGTGGACAGAATGGACAGTCACTTGTTTGGATGGTATAGGTTCTCTTGCTTGAGCGGGGGTGGGGTGGACTAGAAGACCTCCAAGGTCCCTTCCTATTCTATTCTATTCTATTCTATTCTCCAAAGCACCTGAAGGCAGGACAAGAAGCAACGGATGGAAACTAATCAAGGAGAGAAGCAATCTAGAACTAAGGAAAAATTTTCCGATAGTTAAACAATTAATCAGTGGAACAACTCCTCCAGATGTTGTGAATGCTCCAGAAAAGATTGTCTGAAATGGTATAGGGTTTCCTACCTGAGCAGGGGGTGGAACTAGAAGACCTCCAAGGTCCCTCCCAACTCTGTTACTCTATTCCAGTGGTTCTAACCTGTGGGTCGGGACCCCATTTGGGGTCGAACGACCATTTCATGGGGGTCGCCAAACAACGCAGTCCGCCATTTTTTCCCCCCTTTTCCTTAGCTGTGCTACTCCCTTTTATTCTATTGGCTTTTGAAAGCCAATAGAATAGACTCTCTTGAATAGAGTCTAATTCTATTGGCTTTCAAAAGCCAATAGGAATTGTCCAGGCTGTCTCTGCCCTGCTGAGCCCACCAAAAGTTCCATTCTGCAAACGGTGCTGCACCAGTTGAGTAGTCCTCGACTTACGACCGGTTGGGGGTCGCGGCATTAAAAAGGTTGAGAACCACTGCTCTATTCTGTTCTGTTCTGTTCTGCTCTGCTCTGCTCTGCTCTGCTCCAACACTGGAAGTTTTTAGAAAGAGACTGGACAGCCATTTGTCTGAAATGGTATAGGGTTTCCTGCCTGAGCAGTGGGTTGGACTAGATGACCTCCAAGGTCCCTTCCAACTTCATTATTATTATTATTATTATTATTATTATTATTATTATTATTATTATTATTATGGATCATCGCACAGTCAGCCAGATGTTCAGACTGGATTTGGCATTTTGTCTACCTATCGAGTCCTTACCCAGGACCTGGGATAGGCAGATGTGGATGTTTGATGGTATTACAGGTATCGTCGCAGGATGGAAGCAGTTCCTAATAAGGCCGCCTTTTGCAATTGACTAATAGCGAATTTGTCAATGTCAATGGTGTTCAAGTGGTGCTCCAGTTGTTTCAAGGTAGTGTCTCACTGGGGGTATTATTATTATTATTATTATTATTATTATTATTATTATTATTATTATTATTATTCTACTCTATTCTGTTCTGTTCTGTTCTTAAAATAGGACTAGAACCCTGGTTCCCCCACTCTTCATCTTAACCATTGAATCAAATAGGCTCAGCCCAAATAAGCACTGGCAGTGCTGTTCTTTTCATCAGCCAGAGAATAAGAGAGAGATAACAAAGCTTTGAGAGAGCTTAGCAGTGCTGGGCAAGGCCCCTCCGGCTTTATTTCTGAGCCTCACAGCAGATGTCTCTCACAAGAGTGCTGAAGGATTCGTTTCACACCTCACGCTAAGAATAAAGCCATCCCTTTGCAGTGCTCCAAAGAAGGGGAGGGCTGAACACGCAGCCTTTGTATTTTTGTTTTCCACCACAGCAATTTCTGCCCATACCCCTTCCCCAGCTTCCAACTATCATCTTGGGAAGGGGAAAACATCTTATTTTAAAAGCCTTGTTTTAAACTAATAGAGTTGGGAATTTAGCCTCAATCCAGCTTTCCCTAAAAATTGTTGCATGGCTGCACGCACACACACACACACACACACACACACACACACACACACACACACACACACGCTATATCAAGTTGAGTGAACAAGCAGCCGTCCATCTGCTGCTGGTTTTGGAGCACGTGCTTCGCCTGCAAAACTCACAGCCTCTTCCCTGTGGAACGACTTGGCCCCATCTTTGAAGCGATAAGATGGCACAAATTTAGCAGCCCAAGTGACTCAAGCGATAACAGGATGTCACATACAAGGTCTGGGCAAATGCAAGTATCCAGAAAGGCCAACGCTTGGCTGCTGGTGGGCCCGAGTGAGAAGCGAGATCTGAACTTGGAAAGCAACATCAAGAGGTTGTCAAGAGAGTTAATCTCTTGATTATAGCCAGAGCAACTTTGCTTTTGGTCTTTTGTGTTATGATGTGGGGTGATCCAGTGTTCTGTTAAAGTTCCAGGCCATAATAGGTTAGTCCGGCATAAATTGATTCTCACCACACATTAAATGTCCCCTTAAAACAGGGGTCTCCAAATGTGGCAACTTTAAGACTTGTGGACTTCAACTTCAATATGAGTTGAAGTCCACAAGTCTTAAAGTTGCCACATTTGGAGACCCCGCCTTGAAACATTTTTAGCAGACGTGCAGGAAATATGGTCCAATGGAGGTGAATTCGCTAATTTTTGTAGTCTGTTTGTGGTATGTACAACTCTTTAAATACTGAACAGCTCAGACATTATAAAATAAACCCTACTGTGATGAGTGATCCTGTAAGAAAAAACAAATGCATACTAAATAATCAATAGCAATATTTTTGTGAGAAATTTCCAGTGGCCACTTCAATTTAAATATTTATTTATTTGTGTATAATCACGTAACATTATTACTTCAACCTATGCAAAACAACCCTGGTGGAGAGATTCCTGCTGATGTAAGATTATCTCATGGTTCAATTCACATACCGTCTTAACCTGAAATTTGGTTTGTTTACTTCTGGGTGAGCATATTGTAGCAATGCAATCAGGGTACCCATGCCTGCCTACACACATATAGAGAGACACATCAAAATATATTGAAAAAGAGGCTTGCTTCGAAAGGGGATAACAAAAGATTTAAAAGGTAACCTTCACACACCTGTTCTCATGTAAGCTGCTCTACCAGTCTTTTGGAGGATGAGGGCAGGAGGGGAGGTAAAACAGCAAGATAAATTACTTCAAATCTGTATTTCACATACCACAGACCTGCAGAAGTAGTGCAAACCATCAAAAGTGGATTGCCTTCCAACCGAGGTTCCTAACTGGAGTTAAAGGTGTGACATTCGGGATTATGATCCTAATAGTCTGAAATGACATCAAAACGATAGAGTTTACCTACAAAGGACATCCAAGAAGAGTCACGGAGGATAAATGTGACTGGTATTATTGATGCTTTGTAAGACCCTAATATTAGAAAGAAGCTTTTGGCCTCTAATAGAAAAGTATAGGTAGTCCTCATCTTACGACCACAATAGAGCCCAAAATTTCTTTTGCTAAGTGAAACATTTGTCAGGTGAGTTTTGCCCCATTTTATGACCTTTCTTGCCACAGTGGTTAAGTGAATCACGCAATTGTTAAGTTAGTAATACAGTTGTTAAATAAATCTGGCTTCCCCATTGACTTTGCTTGTCAGGTCGCGAGAGGGGATGATGTGACCTTTGGACACAACAACCGTCATAAATATGAGTCAACTGTCAAGCGGCTGAGTTTTGATCAAGTGACCCTGGGGATGCTGCAATGGACATAAGTGTGAAAAACAGTCATAAGTCACTTTTTCCAGTGCTGTTGTAACTTCAAATGGTCACTAAATGAACTGTTGTAAGTCGAGGTCTATCTGTAGATAGATGAGAGAAAGAGAGAGAGGAAGAGAGAAGAAAGGAAAAAAGAAGAGAAAGATAGAGGAAGGAAGGAAGGAAGAAAAAGAAAGAAAGAAAGGAAGGAAGGAAGCAGTAAAAGATAGAGAGAAAGACACAGGATAAATGTTTTTTTCTTCCTTTCAATCATGTCTGATTCTTGGAGACCGCCTAGAGCAGGGGTAGGCATCCTTGGCTCTTTTATGACTCATGGACTTCAACTCCCAGAATTCCTGAGCCAGCCCCACCCCTGGCCTAGAAAAAAATCCCTGCATTCTCGGCAAGTTTTTTTTTTCAATACAGGTAGTCCTCGATTTACAGCAGTTCATTTAGTGACTGTTCAAAGTTACAAAGGCACTGCAAAAAGTGACTTATGACCTTTTTTCACAGTTATGACCTTTCCAGCATCCCCATTTTCAAATTCAGAGGCTTGGCAACGGGCTCATATTTACAACCAAAGTCATGTGTCCCAAAGTCACGTGATCCCCTTTTGTGACCTTCTGACAAGCAAAGTCAATGGGGAAGCCAGATTCACTTAACAGTCATGTTACTAACCTATCAACTGCAATGATTCACTTAACAACTGAGGCAAGAAAGGTTGTAAAATGGGGCACAAGTCACTTAACAAATATCTCACTCAGCAATAGAAATGTTGGGCTCAATGGTGGTCGTAAGTCGAGGACTACCTGTAGTTTGCCATTGCTTCTTTCTTAGGGTTGTTAGAAAGTAACTGGCTCAAGATCACCCAACTGGCTTTGTGCCTAAGGCAGAGCAAGACCTCCTGGTCTCCCAGTTTGTAGCCTGGTGCCTCAACCACTCCACCATATTGGCTTCCGATAGGATAGATATTGTAGATGTACATTATTATATATTACAGTGTACAAATATATTTATATATTCAAGATGATCGAAACGATAGCGAGCTAGAGATGATAGAAATAGAGAAAAGGTTATGAATGATGTATTTCTCTTATTCTCTTGTTCTCTTCTCATTCCAGTGGACCTGAAGGTTACTTTCTCAAGATGGCAGAAGAGTGAGTAGTTTTGTCCTTTAAAGGGCATGTTTAGTGTAATGAGTTACTGCACATTACATACCGGAGGGAAGGGGCACGGGGTGCATCCTGGCAGAGTTCACTGAGCAAGACATGGGGGTTCAGGATCTCCAGAATGGGACTCCTGTCCTTTGAGCTGGCAGACAAGACTCCTTAGATTAAAATATAATCCTACTAAAATGCTAACAGCAGGGGGAAAGCTAGGAAGCAGCTTAGAGTCCTGGGGGATGGGGAAGCAACCAGGCAAAGCAAGGAATTATTCAGTCTGATTTGTATCTTCCTGTTTTTCCGCAGGGAAGAGATCACCGTAAGTACAAATGAAGCAACTTCGCCAGAACTGATGGGAAAGAATCAGTGTCCTTTGTTTTATACAGGCATCTTTCTCTCTTCTTTCAAAGAGCTTTAATATATTGGGAGAAATTGTCAAGATGTTCCCTTCACATGAGTTGAATAGAAAGTAAATTATCCAAGGAAATGTTACTCTAGTACTGGGGTGGTTCTGTCATTGCAGGCAAGTAAATATCTACAATGTCACAATTATACAGTATGCTTTCTGAAAAGTACTGTGGAAAGCCAGTTTGGTCTAGTGCAATGTTTCCCAAACTTGACAATTTTAAAGCATGAGGACTTCAACTCCCAGAATTCCACAGCCAGCGTTGCTGGCTGTGGAATTCTGGGAGTTGAAGTCCACATGCCTTAAAATTGTCAAGTTTGGGAAACACTGGTCTAGTGGTTAAGAAGCAATGGGTGGAAATTAATCAAGGAGAGAAGCAATCTGGAACTACCGTATATGCCGGCGTATTAGGCGACCCGGTGTATAAGACGACCCCGTCTTTATAGCCGGGCCGCATTCCTAGAATGTCGTCTTATACGCCGAAAACTACCAGTATTTTTGGCGTATAAGACGACTCGGCGTATAAGACGACCCCCGTCTTTGGCGCCGATTTCAGCGCTCGCGGAAGTCGTCCTATACGCTGGCATTTACGGTAAGAAGAAATGTCCCGACATTTAGAACAATTAATCAGTGAAGTAGCTTGCCTCCAGAAATGGTGGGTGCAACACTGGAGGTTTTTAAGAAGAGATTGGACAACCATTTCTCTGAAACGGTATAGGATTTCCTGCTTGAGCAGAGGGTTGGACTAGATGACCTCCAAAGTCCCTTCCAACTCTGTTATTCTGTTATTTACACTAGGTTAGGAGCTAGGATACTGTGAATTCTAGTCCTGCCTTAAGCATGAAAGCCACCTGGGTGACTTTGGGCCAATCACCAGGAAACTGTGAGTTCTAGTCCTGAGATGACTTTGGACCAGTCACTTTCTCTCAGCCCAACTCACCTCCTAGGATTGTTCTTGTGGTGAAAAGAGGAGGAGGAAGGGTTATTCTGTGGTATTACCCATAAAGTAATAAAGGGTAAAAAAAAAATCTAATAAATATATAAATAAATGTGCCCTACATCAGGGTTTTGAATCTTGCCACAAAGTACTTATCACTTAGGATAAACTTGGCAAAAGCTTCTTTGCCAGGCCTAGCCAGATATTAGCTCCTTAGAAAATAGTTTAAGATAAGCTTTACAAAATGTCACCAGCATCACTTCAGATTAAAGTCTATAAATAGTTCCTTTATGAAAAAAAATTAAAATAAGCCATCTTCATACTTGGCAATTTGTACAGTCTTTGCTGTTAGCATATTTAATCGTTTCATTTCTTAAAAGACGCTATCTCTGTTTAAGTACTTTTGAATATTTTTTTTCTTGCCTTTTCTATTTGATATCTAGTCAGGGATGTCCACAGACAGCTTTAAAAAGTCATAATGGCAGTTGAGTCCGGGAAATCTAGTCCCCACCCTTTACAAACAACATATGTAAAAAGGGACACCATTTAGGTTTTTTGGCTTGTCCATGGACGACCCCAGATATGTTGATCTTCAATTACCATCCCTCCTAGCTGGCCTAGCTGCTATCAGCAGTAGCAGTAGACCATGCAGGCTGGGAATTCTGGGTGTTGAAGTCCACAGGTCTAAAGATTGGTGAGATTGAAAAGCACTGCTGTAGAGCAAAGTTTCTCAAACATGACCACCTTAGGCTGCGTGGCTTTCGACTCCCAGAATTCCCCAGTCAGCCTTTTTTTCTTCCTGGCTGGGGAATTCTGGGAGTTGAATTCCACGTAGCTTAAAGTGGCCTCGCTTTAGAAACACTGCTGTAGAGCAACTGATACAGAAAGCAAGGTAGTTCTAATATGCATCATTGCAGGCCTATGGAGACTTGACACCAAGAGAAATTCACACTGTATCCAAAAGCTCTCTTTTGTCCATCGATATGCCCATCCTGATGAGATCACAGCAAAAAAATGTAGAAGCCATTCTGAGGAAGCACGAATCTGGAAAAATCAAGAAAGATATTACGGTATTGTCATCTTCCATAAAGAATCCAAAATTCAAACTCCGCTCACTCAAGCGCCACCTAGTGGCAAAAAGATTGAGAAAATAAAGTTATGCATTCATGTTATTACAGTAGCATTCTGTCTTTCCAATTTTTAATTTTCATTCTTTTGGTATTTCTAAGAAAATGGATTTGTCAGGAAAATATTGGCAGTCCTCAACTTGCAACTATTTGTTTAGTTCAAACCATTTGTTTGGTTCGTTCAAAGTTACAATTGCACTGAAAAAAGTGACTTACAACTGCACCTCAAACTTATAACAGTTGCAGCATCCCCAGGATCACCTGATCAACATTAAAGCTCTTGGCAACTGGCATGTATTTATGACAGTTGCAATATCCCAGAGGTCATGTGTTTGCTATTTGCAACCTTCCCAGCTGGCTCCCAACAAGCAAAGTCAAGCTGGATTTGGTTAACGATCACATAATTCATTTAACAACTGCAGTCATCCCTTTAACAACTGTGTCAAAAAAAAGCTATTAAAAAATCAGGCATGAGTCATTTAACAACCACCTTGTTTAGTAGGCCAGTGAAAGTCAGCAATTAAAATACAAAGTACTTAAATGAACAGGAGCAGGTTTGTACCATTGTACCTCACTTCCATAAATATCCTCTCTCAAAATCTGAAATTTGGGAGTGGTGTGTGTGTAAGAGCAGCAAGTGGAGCTGGCCTTTATATGTCCTAAAATGGGTTGCAGGGAGCATTTTAAATAATTTATTTAAATCTGCAGTATGAGGAAGAGGAAGAGGAAGAGGAGGAATACATAGAGGAGGAAGAGCAGGAGACTATTGTAGAAACAAAAAAGGCACCAGTGGCTCCCAAACCTGCCCCTCCACCTCCTGCAACAGTGCCTCCCCTACGCCGAAAATCATCTGCCAATTACCGGGCCTACGCCATTGAGCCACACGACAAGGTGAGTGCCAGTCTCTTTTCCAGTTGAATCGAAAAAGAGAAATGCAGAAATACCCAGGGCAAGATTAAGGATTGGGGGCTCAGGAGATCAAAGGGGAAGCCATCGTTTGAAGGGAGAGGGGGGGAAGAAATGCAGAAATGGAAACAATACTGCCCCTTGTGTTTGGGTCTCTGTATGGGTGTGTCTCTGTGTGTTTTTGGAGAGAAAAGCAAATTTATCATCATGCATGAAAACAATACATCAAGGTGAGGAACGGTTGCTGGAATTGGGTATGTCTAGTTTAACGAACAGAAGGACAAGAGGGGACATGATAGCAGTGTTCCAATATCTGAGGCTGCCACAAAGAAGAGGGAGTCAAGCTATTCTCCAAAGCACCTGAAGGCAGGACAAGAAGCAATGGATGGGAACTAATCAAAGAGAGAAGCAACCTAGAACTAAGGAGAAACTTCTGACAGTTAGAACAATTAATCAATGGAACAACCGGGGGTTGGACTAGAATGCCTCTAAGCTCCCATTCAACTCTGTTATTGTATTCTATTCTAACTCCCAGAATTCCCCAGCCAGCACTTGATTTAGACTAATCCCATCTATTATTTTATTTAGAAAGAAATTAAACCCATTGGACAAAGTAGATTGTATTTTATTTCCTATGTCTCCTTTCCGCTAAGTCAGGGGTCCCCAATCCCCGGTCCGTGGACCAGTACCAGGCTGCAGCATGCCAGCAACCGGTCCACACAAACAAGCAAAGCCCCATCCGTGGGATGCAGGCAGCACACAAAACCACGCACTCTCCTATTCCTGGAAAAACCTTTTTCCATGAAACTGGTTCCTGATGCCCAAAAGGTTGGGGACCTCTGCTCTAAATGAAAATTTGTCACTTGATGTTAAGATCAAGTGATCTTTGTCACTTGAGCTTTAACCAGGCCTAAACCAAATCAGCTGATTGTGTTTCTCTTCTTTCCTATTAAACTGCTCCCATGTTATGTCCAGGATAAGCATCACTGTAACTTTAGGAAATCCAATTGAGCAACACCTTTCTCATGTGTGAAATATGCCTCTCAATCTCTCTTTTTTTCTTCTACGACAGATAAAATGCAAGATATCAGCTTCTCGGAAATTGCAACTCAAGGTGATGTGGAAAAAAATGACTTCCTGGGTATTAGAACAGTTAGAAAACTACACAAGGGGCTAAACACCTCTGGGGGCACATCTGGCAAGTTTCTAGGAGGTAGGAAGGCAAAACATAGTACATGTAGTCCTTGATTTACAACCATTCATTTAATGATCATTTGAAGTTACAAAGGAGCTGAAAAAAGTGACTTGTGACTCTTTTTCACCCTTACGACTATTGCAGCAACCCTGTGTTCACATGATCAAAATTTGGACACTGGGGCAACTTCAACAGTTGCGACCTTCTGATCAGCAAAGTCAAGGATTCACTGATTCACTGAACAACTGTGTTGCCAACTTAACAACTGAAGTGATTCATTTAACAACTATGGCAAGAAAGATCGTAAAAGGGGTCAAAATTCACTTATAAATGTCTTGCTTAGCAACAGAAGTTTGGGAAATCTTGTGGTTGTAAGTCGAGGACTACGTGTAGGATATAGACGCTGGTGGAAAAGAGGTACAGAAGATCAGATTCCAAGAGAATAGAACACCCATACAACCACACCTACCCACACATATACTTGATGCAAATAGTTGGTAGGGAGGAACTCTTGACAAAATGGACATGCCCAACCCAAATGCCCTCCAGATCTGGGATTCAACACCCAGAATTCTTGGCTTAGTATATGAGCATCATTCACCATCCTCGGGGTCCATCCATACTTCTGCAGAGTCCCTTGGAAAGGAAAAGCTAGCTTAAGCCTGGTATATATATTGGGTGGAAGGTTGAAATTATATCTGCAAGCAAGATTTAAGCCCAGCTCATTGATCCAAACTATTGTCTTTTCACTCAGTCACTGATGCTCCAAGTGGCTAAGAAGGAAATGGAAAAGGAAGAAGAAGAACGCTCCCAGGATAAAGAGCGATTTCTCTCTGACCACTGTATCCCATTAGAACTGGCAGGATTCGGCTTCACAGAACTGCAGGTCAGCATAGACGTGGGGAGAATGAAGGAGGAAGAAAGCAGACCAAATTGGAGAAGATCTGCTTCTTGGGTTTAGTGAAGTCAGACTTCTCTGAACTGTTACTCTCCAGATGTGTTGGGCTTTCCATGAAAAGTCTCTAGTTTGAAGAAAGATAAAGACAGATGCCAGATGAAAGGAAAACTCTAAGTATATCTTTGATTTGCAGGGTAAACTATCTTAGATGTTGGCTTTATGTTAGGGAAGGTGGTAAGCTCCTTGAGGACAACACTATGCATTTGCTACTCAACTTGCTTTGCACCAGCAGCTCTCAAGCAAGAGTTGGACATCCCATCACTTGCAGCATGATCCACATTCCATAGAAAGATAACATAACTTTAGAAGAATCCACCCAGTTAAAATTCTCTTGTACAGTAAGCCTATGCTCAAAATTAGCTTTCTTCAAACTATTGCACTCCAGGTATATGAACCGGAGGTGGGATTTGTAGGACAACACAGCTGGAAGGGCAGCTGATTCTTCTGTTCAGTTCGGACTATTCTAAAAGATTCTTAGCTTTGAGAAAAAAAATATAATTGTGGATATTAATGGAATCTAAATTAAAGAACCCTGGTGGCGCAGTGGTTAGAATGCAGTACTGCAGGCTATTTCTGCTGACTGTCAGCTGCCAGCAATTCGGCAGTTCGATTCTCACTGGCTCAAGGTTGACTCAGTCTTCCATCCTTCCAAGGTCAGTGAAATGAGGACCCAGCTTGTTGGGGGCAACAGGCTAACCCTGTAAACCACTTAGAGAGGGCTGTAGAGCACTGTGAAGTGGTATATAAATCTAAGTGCTATTGCTATTGCTAAATCTCCAGGATTTCTCCAAAAGTGTTTTGAAATTATTATCTTCTTTTTTTCTCCAGTTAGACCAATCTGATTTACTGTAAGTGGTTGATGTCTTAAAAAAAATAGTTGTATGGCTCATCACTCAGTAGCTTTGCAAATGCACTTTGCACTTGTTCAGGAACACCCTGTTCTTTGTTAGTTTTGAATCTGATCTTTGATTTGGCTTTCAAATTATACTACCTTGTTTGGTGCAGAAGTTATGTCAGCAGCTGCATGCACAAATTGACAAAATTGATGAGGAGCGTTATGACATGGAGGCCCGGGTCAATAAGAGCATCAACGAGGTGAGTTTCTGAACATGGGCCTTGGGGGGGGGCACAATTGTCTTCACAGGGCCTCACTTGCGGATCTCGTTCATATAAGATAGAAAGAGAGAGCTAAGTGTATTTCAGATGAAGGATTTGGCCAATGGAATTTGGCATTTTAATGACAGTAATGGGGAAATGCAAAACACAGCCTAGTCTTTTTCGCTCAGCTTAAAAATAATCACTTAGGGCCACTGATTTGAGTAAATCAAATCAGGAAAAGCTGGAATATATGCCAATTTGATGTTCTTGATAAGAAGGATGGATTTTAAAAACAACCACAATATGTCCATGACTCTAGGTTTGCAAAGTGCAGAAAAGGTGGAAGAAATAATAAGCCGGGGGAAAAAACAAATGGCATGAGATGAGAATAAAAGGGAGATTAGATAAACCTAGTTTGCATCAGTAACATTCACTATACCTCTTCATATCATTCTATCCCTGAAAAACATTCTAGTTTCTTCAGCCATGTCTACCTGCTGCTTTCCATTTTGACTTTTCAGAATTTTCACTTCTCCGTTTTTTGAGATCTCATCAACTGCATCCTGGATTCAGTCATGGTGTCTCTGTCTTCCCTTTCTCCTCACTTAGTTACTCTTCTTTGGTTTTGCAGTTTAATACTCATTCATTTCCTATATGTGACCAAATCATCTCAGTGTACTTTTTCATACTGACTATTCATTTTTTCCATTCAGTCCACATTTCTTCAGAGCCATCCCTTCTATTTCTAGTTTCATTTCTTTCAATTTTTTTCCCCTGTCACATCCATTTTTTCCCAAGCTCCATGCTTGATATTACTAGGAGCCTTCTAAGAAGATCTGAGAAGATCTATGCAGTCAACATTTTCATTCATTCTTGGGGATTGGATTGCCCCAATCGCTTTTTCTGTAATTCTGTAATTCCGTTACTGCATTTGCACCCACCCATTCATATATCATTTATGTTATGTTTTCGGTTCGTTGGCAATTGATGAAGACACATGGTGGAAAACAACAAGCTCTTTATTTCATTCTCCTACAACCAAGCAAACAGCAAAAGGCACGCAGGCCTTTTATAGGGCCAGAAACCCAGACAGTGTGAACCAATAGGAATTGAGCATTTTCGCGCCTTGCGCATGCACGCAAGGCTGGCGCCACCCTGTCTGGTCCCGGGCAGCTTTTGGAATGCCCAGGACCATTTGCAACATTCTGAGCCTGCTTTCAGCTCTTGCAGGCTCAAGACACAACAATTTAGAATTAAGAATAATTTTTACCCTGCATGCAGTTATTGCCAACCTATAGATTTCTATTTTCAAATGTACCTACAAAAGCTTTAACTCTTTCACACATCATTAAACCTACATCTCCAGAGTTCTTGGTATTCTCAGAACTTGGTTGTTTGCTTGAAAACATTTCATCACTCTATTAGATAAGACTAGGGGTAGGCAACCTTGGCTCTTTTATGATGCTCCCAGAATTCCTGAGCCAGCCATGCTGAGGGGAAAGGGAGAGGTTTCCAAGCTGAGCCATGCTGGCTCAGTAATTCTGGGAGTTGAAGTCCACAAGTCATAAAAGAGCCAAGGTTGCCTACCCCTGGATAAGACCATCAGTGCTAATGAGTGGAGAGTTTGATGTCAGGAGGACCCAGCAGACCAAAGATCTTGCTAGGGCAGTGTTCTACAAACTTGGCAACTTTAAAATGTGTGGATTTTAACTTTCTCCAGTATGCTGGCTGGAGAATTCTGGGAGCTGGATTGCTGAGGTCGAAAAATACTGGTTTACAGTTTCAGAATGTTCTTTATTTAAGACAGTTTATGAGAAAGTTTGGGGAGATCTGGAAGGACAGTGCAACATTTCACTCCTAACGGAAGGGTTCTTCGTATAACTGGGCTTTCCCCACCTCTTTCAAATGTGTTGAGACTGGAATTCCCAATCACCATCACTCAGGGTATTGTTGTCTACCCATCTGGAAAGCATCCAGTTGGGGAGAATGGTGAATATTTCAAATGTGTTAACAGACTGTCCATTCTGGCTCCAGATCCAAGATTTGAACCAGAAGATTTTTGACCTGCGAGGCAAATTTAAACGCCCTGCTCTTCGCCGGGTGCGTCTCTCGGCTGATGCCATGATGCAGGCCTTGCTTGGCTCCAAGCACAAGGTCTCTATGGATCTGCGGGCCAACCTCAAACAGGTCAAGAAAGATGACACAGAGAAGGTGAGCCTGGAAGGATCAGCAGCCAAGAGTCAGGGGGAGGGAAGACAAAGTGGACAGATGGTAGCTTCAGAGTCATTCAGCATCTTGATTTAGGAAAAGAGCAAGCAATCTTTGTTAGCTAGAGACTCTGCTTAGAGCAGTGGTTCTCAACCTGTGGGTCGGGACCAAATTTGGGGTCAAACGACCATTTCACAGGGGTCGCCAAACAATGCAGTCCGCCATTTTTTTCCCCTTTTCCTTAGCTGTGCTACTCCCTTTTATTCTATTGGCTTTTGAAAGCCAATAGAATAGACTCTCTTGAATAGAGTCTAATTCTATTGGCTTTCAAAAGCCAATAGGAATTGTCCAGGCTGTCTCTGCCCTGCTGAGCCCGCCAAAAGTCCCATTCTGCAAATGGTGCTGCATCAACTGAGTACTCCTCGACTTACGACCAGTTGAGTAGTCCTCGACTTACGACCAGTTGAGTAGTCCTCGACTTATGACCTGTTGGGGGTCGCGGCATTAAAATGGTTGAGAACCACTGGCTTAGAGGGTTGTTCGGGTTTTTTTGCATGGTTTGGAGTTTTTAGTGGATAAAGAGTCATTTAAACTCTGACTCACCCCCAAATGAGCAAAATTAGTCTTTTTGGATAGTTTGAATATATTTTATCCCTTAACTGTCTTCTCTGGAGGCCCTGCACACCGTGAATGGGATGTTACAGCCCCTTGTGGCCTCCAAAAATTCCCCATTCCTGGTCTAAGATCATTGTGAGGCGTTCTGAGGTAACTGAACTGCCCAAACTTTGCATACTTGCCTGCTTATTTACTTACAGCTTGACTGATCATTTATTGGTGGTGAATAATTTCCAGGCACAAATTTCCCATCAGTGACGTCGTATGTCAAAGTCTTAAATTTAGTTCTTGGCACCTTGAGTTACATTTTACCGGCATGGCAGCAACCTCTTTGTTTTTTGTTACCTATAAATAGCCATCTTAAAGTTCACTTGGAAGGAAGACGATCGATTTAGATGGGCAGTGAACTTTTCTCCAATTTCTGGTTTTCATAAAGCTCCTTTCAACACTCCTTCCAAAACTGCAGGAAAGTTCACAGGTAAAAGGTCACAAAAGTCAAGATGGCAGCCATCACAATGCAAAAAACCCTTTTCATATGTATTATGACCGCGATCTTGATTTTTGTTTTTAATTCCTTCCTTGGAGGATACCCTTGCAAAACTTTTTTTTCCCCAGTACATTACTTGCAAGGGTATAAAGCAGGTTTTCTCAACGATAGTAATTTTAAGACATGTGGACTTCATTCTCATGCTGGCTGGAGAATTCTGGGGGTTGAAGTCTGTGCATCTTAAAGTTGTCAAGGTTGGGAAACCCTGGTACAAAGGAACATGTATAAAGTCTACTTGGGGAAAGGGAAATAGTTGGGCTGACTTTGAGTTTTGAAAAAACCTTTGCATTTCAAGAATGCATGTAGGAGCACCTCTCCTTTCCTCGGTCTGAGTACTTATCCAACCAAGACCACAGCTTAGAAAATGTGGAAAGATATCTCATAACCACAGAGATCCCTCTGATCTCATCCAGAGAAGTGAACGGTGCAAAATTCAGGAACATCCAACTATATCACCGGGCACAAGTGATCTTTCCAAATTTGGAGAGTGTAGAATGCTTTTCCGGGGGAAGGAGAACATTGTCAACAATAAGAATCTCTCTTAGCTGTGAAAGGAATTCTATTCATTAAAGTTTCCTGTGGCTTACTTTGATGATTCCACGAAGCAATGGGAAACCAGGCTTTCTATGGCACAGCAGTCATGGTGATGGGCTGTTTAAGAACACCAAAACCCCGATTGTAGTCCATTCTCAGCTTTAGAAGCTCCTTGAGGAAACTGGGGACCAGCCACTGTCTCTCAACCAATCACATTGGGGTTGGTGTGGGGAAGAACATGAGGAAGGAAAGCTGTGCATGTTGCTCTGAGTTCAAATAAATAAAAACATAAATGAGCTAAAAGGACCCAAGTTACTCCTCCCACACAGCCTGGGACTCCACTGATTTCCTGACCCTTGGTCTCTCCCCACCCCAGGAGAATCGGGAAGTAGGTGACTGGAGGAAGAATATCGATGCTCTGAGTGGCATGGAAGGGCGCAAGAAAATATTTGAGACCTCAGTCGCAGGACAGGCCTAAGGCACAAAAGGTGAGAGAAATTCCTTCAGGGATGTATGCATTGAAATACAAATAGTCTTCAACTTACCACGATTTGTATGGCGATCGTTTGACATTACAACAGCACTGAACAAGGTCATTGACAACTGGTCCTCACACTTACGACTATTGCAGCATCAATAGTGGTCATGTGATCAAAATTTGGGCACTTTGCAACGACAGATTTTTTCTGATAGTTGAAGCATCCTGATTGCCATTCATGACCTTCCTAGCCAATTCCCAACAAGCAAAGTCAATGGGAGAAGCCAGATGGTTAACAACCATATGATTCCTTTAATGACCATGGCAGAAAAAGGTTGTAAAATCAGGTGTTACTCACTTAACAACCGCCTTGTTTAACAGCAGAAATTTTGGTCCGAATTATAGTTATAAGTTGATGGATTGCTTGCATATTTAAGTCGAAGGATAGATGTGGGGGCTGGTCAAATCCAAGAGCAGCATTGCTATTCAGAGATTGCATCTGGAAAAAGGCCTCTTCTCTCCCTGATGCTTGTCTATATGTTCAAAAGAGTTATATGACTACCCACCTTTGGTACACAATTCACAAGCAATAAAAATAATACAACCAGAAATAAAAAAAAATCAGCTGCCCAACCCATCAACTACTCTTATTCATTTCTACAATATTTGGGTTCCAACTGTTCTATTTTAGCATCTGGGAGATGGGAGCCCACACAGCTATTCAACAGTGGTGTGACATGGGCAAACTAAAGGATGGTCAATAAGGTGTGAGCTGCCACATTCTGCACAGGTCTACAACAACTCGTCACAGCCAACTTACTGCGGCCAACTCGCCATGGCCAACTCACCATGGCCAATTTGTTATGGCCAACTCACCACGGGACAACTTGCCGTGGGACAAGAGTTACACTAATATCCAAAAAATAGAACAATAGAATCATTAAAGGAAGGATGCCAAAGGAGGAACAAAATTAAATGTGTATGACAAAAATTAAATTAATTTTTAACTATTTTAAATAATTGTTGAATTGTTGAATGTCCTGCAGCAAGTTGTCCCATGGCAAGTTGGCCGTGGCAATTTGACCGTGGCGAGTTGTCCCATTCCATTCTGGATCAGTTGTAATTTCCAAGTGGTCTCCATGGGCAGCCCTGTGTAAAGAGTGTTGCAGTAGTCCCGTCAGAAAGTCACTAAGCCACGAGGGACCATGTTTTTGATTGTTCTACCCTAGCCTTCCAAAATCCAGAGTCCTCCAAATAAGTGGGCCATGAGACTTAAAATCCCCATCCAGTTTTTCCATTCTTCAGGTAGTCCTCGACTTACAACACTTCATTTAGCGACCATTCAAAGTTACAATGGTCCTGGGGAAAAATGACTTATGACCACTTTTCACACTTATGACCATTGCAGCATCCCCACAGTCACATGATCAGAATCCAGGCACTTGGCAACTGACTCATATTTATGACAGTTGCAGCATCCCGAGGTCACGTGATCTCTTTTTGTGACCTTCTGACAAGCTAAGTCAACAGGGAATCCAGATTCATTTAACAACCCTGTCACTAAACCTAACAACTGCCAAGTTTCATTTAACAATTCTAGCAAGAAAGGTGGTTAAATGGGGCAAAATTCACTTTTAACTACTGTCTCACTTATCCACAGAAATGTTGGGCTCAATTCTGGTCTTAAGTTAAATACGTATTACCTATATTCTAACAGGTCTTCCACATTAATTCCCAACTTTTGCTACATTAGTCCGGTTTTGCATAATAGTCCTAAGTCTGGAAAACTTTAGTAAAGTGCTTTTCTTCTGGGTGATGAGAGGTTGCAGACACTTGCAAACTGTAGCATGAATGTTCAGAATGGTTTCCTAAACTTTATCCTACCTCCCCCCCTCCCCTTTTTCCTTTTTTCAGATGGGGCTTCCTGTGTGCTCTCTGATCTGTAGATGTTACAGATCCCTCGTGAATCCTCATTCTTTCACCGCATTCATTATTGGGGCAAAAACCACACCTTGGAGTTTTGTTCTGCAAACGATTATTTCCCTTTCTGTTGCTTTGGGAAGCATCTTAGCTCTGAGCTCACCATAAGAACGATGCATTTAAAACTTGAAGTATGCATGTTTGTATGGATAGTACAAGGAGCAGGTTGGGTGCCACCAAGTCTGTGTGAGCTTCAGAAATGCTGCAGAAGATATGCTGTAGAGACCAGGAGTAGTCCAGCCTTGGGAACTTTCAACCTGTACACTTCAACTCTCAGAATTCTCCAGCTGGCCATGCTGGCTGGGAATTCTGGGAGTTGAAGTCCACAAGTCTTAAAGTTGTCAAAGTTGGACACCCCTGGCTTAGATCTTGAATTTGCCCAGTGCCTCTCTGTTCTCATTAAAGCAGCTCAATTCTTTCTTTTTTTTTTCAGGATTTCACACCAACAGGAAAAATAAAGGAGTTGCTACTTTAAAGGTGGCACAAAGTATAAATCCCTTAAAGCAGGAGGATCTCTCTTTTTCTTAAGTTCTTGCTGAAATCTTAAAAGAGTTGGGCCCCACACACATAGTTGGGCTACTTTAATCAAGAGTAGAGAGGTGCTGTGCTTCTTTGGCAAAAATAACTGTAATTCACAAACAGGCAAAAATAATTCCAAAATATTTTTGAGGCCTGCACACCTCTAATAGTAGAATGATCCTGTCTATAACAAGTGTGGCCACTAGATGGCTGTCAAGAGTTAAGATTGTGAGCAACCCTTTGCTACAACCTAATGGTTGAGGATTTTTTTACAGCTCAGATACAGTACAGGTAGTCCTTGACTTATGACCATTTGTTTAGTGACCATTCTAAGTTACAACGGTACTGAAAAAACTGACTTACAACTGCTCCTCAGACTTACAACTGTTGCAGCTTCCCCGTGGTCACATGATCAAAATTCAGGCACTTCACAATGAGCATGTATTTATGACAATTGCAGCATCCTAGGGTGACCTTCCCAATTGGCATTCAACAAGCAAAGACAATGGAGAAAGCTGGATTCATTTAACGACCGCATGATTCACTCAACAATTGCAGTGATTCACTTAATAACCGCGGCAAAAAGGGTTTGTAAAATTGGGCATGGCTCACTTAACAACCACCTCATTTAGCATTAGAAGCTCCAGTGTGGACGTAAGTTAAGGATTACCTGTAAGCCTCTTGATATAGTACGGGTAGTCCTTGAGTGACGACCACAACTGAGCCCAAAATTTCTCTTGCCAAGCGAGACACTTGTTAAATGAGTTTTGCCCCATTTTATGACCTTTCTTGCCACGGTTGTTAAGTGAATCACTGTAACTGCTAAGTTAGTAATAAAGCTGTTAAGTGAATCTGGCTTCCCCATTGACTTTGCTTGTCAGAAGATCACAAAAGGTGAGCACATGACCCTGGAACACTACAACCGTCATAGATATGAGTCAGCTGCCAAGAGTCCAAATTTTAATCCCTTGGCCTTTGGGATGCTGCAATGGTCGTAAGTGGGGAAAAAAGTCATAAGACATTTTTTTCAGTAACTTCGAACGGTCACTAAATGAACTGTTGTAAGTTGAGGACTATCTGCACATGCCTGCGTGCACTCTTGCCCCTTTTTAAGGGCGTCTTTTAAGGCTGGTATATGCACAAAGAGAAATTGCTGTCAAAGAGCTCTCTTCTTTGTAATTCTAGCAAAGCCTGGGGACAGTAGCGCTTCTTCGTGATCCAGCAGATGGCTGAAGGTCCGTCAAAGCCTCCTTAGCAGGCAGGCATCCACAGGAGGGGGTCAAAGACCACATTGGGGGATGCAACCCTGCCTTTGAAGCTCGCTTCTTTTTAATGCACCATTGCAACAGCCATCTTTTTGACTACTCCCTACAGATGCCTCTCTCTGGATGATGCATGCTTCACCCTTACTTGGAAGCCCTGAGGTTCTTGATGCCAAAGAAGGTAGTGATGCCAAAGAAGAAAGGAAAGGGAAAAAAGCTGTGTCATTCAATCTGTGCTTTTGTAGCTATGGTGGTTACACTAAGGCAGGGGTCTTCAAACTTGGCAACTTTAAGATTTATGGACTTCAACTCCCAGAATTCCTCAGCCAGCCCTTCTGGGAGTTGAAGTCCATAAGTCTTAAAGTTGCCAAGTTTGAAGACCACTGCACTAAGGGGTGTTTTAGAAAAGACAGCAATGCTTTTTTGCAGGGTGTTCCAATCAGGATGTTGTCTAATCCCTGATGATCAAAATGTTGCCCACTTTACTGGCAAACACTGCTGCTGTTCTTCTTGAGTGCACTTTCCCCCCTCAGTGTCAAAAGGAGTGCAGTTGGATCCTACTTTTTGCTTCCTGATTCTGAACACTTTCACTTTCTTGGGAATTCCAGTCAGCTCATTTTGGGGAAACCAACCAACCTTTGATCCTTGGCAACAGCAATTGGCTCTGTCTAATATGATTCCAGGACATCTCTCTTGGCACATGCCAGCTTTTTCTACTGCATAGGTTTGGGGCTTAAGCTTTGCTAAATGCTAGCATTTCGCAACAGTTTCTAGCCTCATTTCTATCTGCAAAAATATTCCCCATACAGACAACACAAATGGTGCTTGATCTAAGCTCAATCTTGGTTTGTAAAGATGCCCTCCCGCCTAGAGAGAAGCAGGCTTGGCTTGGAAAGATGCCCCCCCCCCCAGAAAGAAGCAGGCTTAGACACTGGATTAGGAGCAGGAAGAGTCAGGTTCATTTTCAGCCCTTCAATGGATGGCTTTGAGCCTCTCATTCTCTTTCAGCCTACTTCCCAAGGTTGTTGTTGTGAGAGGAAAGGAGAAGAGGGAGCACTATATTTGTCATCTTGAACTTCTGAAGGGATGGAAATCCAGATAGATAAATAAAAGACTAAAGTGAATTGGGAATAACGGGAGGCTTTCGGAAAGGCTGGTAAGAAGCCATTTTGTGAAAGCACCCAGACATACAAATTGTGAGACTACAATGAGTTGAAGGAGGATCAAACTGTGCGATGAAATGATGGTCTTTAATCATTAGACAGTTATCATATGTTGTATAAAAGTCATTGAAAGCAGTACTGAATTGCTGGAATTGAATTCTGACTAATCACTTCTGGGTAACCCCAAAGTAATAGGTAGGAATCCTGCCTGGGAGGGGTATCCACCGGAATGGAGGAAGGGGTGACAAAATGGTGGATATGATGGAAGCCCCACCCCTTTCGAACACATCTGAGACTCAAAAAGCGTTGAGGATTCTCTTGTATCATTGGGGTAGTTTGACTCTTTTGCCCTCCCTGCCGAAGCCCTCATTTGTTTGTTTTTTTTCTAATGAATTACTGTTGCCCGATGAAAATATTTCTAGCAACTAGTTTATTTGCCTTCAATTAATTGTTTCTTTTTAAAAAACAAAATCTTTTATTTGTGTTCACATTAAAAATACACCATTCACACTTCAGCCCACTGATGGTTAACACTGGTCACAATTAAAGCACAAAGAAACAGGTATTTTTTTTTTTTTTAATGAAGAAACAGAAAGAGAATGCAACAATTTGCAGATTTGTGTCAAGTCAGTGAATTGTCAAAACGGCAACATGTTTAACTAGAAACAGCTGCTGCTGAAACACACATACAACAGAGGCACGTCCTTTTAATGACAATGTAGTATAACATAAATAAATAAACATTCATAATCAATATAGTAGCCTTTTACTTTGCATTTCCTTATTAGAGTTCTCTTTTAACTTTTTTGGTGGCTTACAAACACAATACAAGTTTTTTTTAAAAAAAAAAAACAAGGCAATTAAAAATGGGGTCCTCTTCAAAGGGACTTTTGAGACAACCACCTGGCCTTTTCTGATTGAAAAACCTCATTGTGAGAATGTCTGTGGGGGTCAAAAAATTCAAGATGGCAGGTGCGATGGAAGGCCTGCCTCGTTTTTACATGCCGCCCCAACCTCTTTGCCTCCATTGTTACGGCTCATGAATTAATTTTTGCAGAAACATTACTCAAAAAGGAAAACACAGAAGAGGAAGGTAAATAGATATTAGGCATAAAATCTTGATCATATCTGCAATTCAGATTTAAAATTCAGTTGCCTGGTCCTCGCCAGAAAGGGAAATAAATATGCAGGCAGAAAAATATATGTACATAAAAGGTTGCTTATAAATAACAATATATAAACATTTGTGCACAAAAGTTTTTCACATTATACCTTCCCTTCCTGCTTCCTTATCGATCTAACTTTCTTCAATAAATAAATCTCATATAATAAATAAGTTATTTAAATATTTGGATAAATAGAAATAAAACCTTGGGGTTTTGTTTTGTTTTTTAAAAAAACACGGCAAGTTTAACAATGGGAAACTAAAAAGTTGAAGTGATTCAGACAGAACAGAAATTCTGTGCCTGTTTTGGGATTTGGGAATCCCAAAAGGCTTCAGTCAATTACATCCATCCCTTTTATTGTTCTGCTCCTTTGCCCCGATCTGTCTTCCTCATATTTACTCTTCATATTAATGCAATAAATCACAGATGGCCGAGCTTAGGAAGGATCCTGCTAAACATCTGACTTTGTGCCCTGGCCCAGCCATTGTCTTGCTCTATCTGAAGGCAAAACTTGGGCTTCTCAAGCCCTGATTTTGACCCATTATGTTGAAGGGATCAGGCGATTCAATGTCAGGCACCTGTTGAACGTATTCGTAGTCCATAAGCATTGGTTCAAGGGGAACCTTGTTAACTAAAGGTAAAAACTGGGAGAAAGGGGGCAGCTGACGGCTGTGGGCCAAATTCTCCATCATGCTGAGGCTGATGGGAAGATTGTAGGCCTCTGAATAGTACACATTATAACCATCTCGAAGAACCATCTCATGGAAATTACAGGCCTCTTCCGAGTACAACAGCTGTAAAGAGAAGAGATCGCTTGGATTAAGCCTTCAAGAATGCAGAACCTCTATTGGGCTTTACAGATAGTCCAGAATAAAGAAGCAAAACAACAACTGAATTTGATTTCATTTACCTTCGAGGGGGGCTCTACTTAAATTTAGCTTATTGTTATCTTGCTTCTACCATTGCTTCCTGTGTATTACATTCTCTTGGGTCACATTAAAAAACACGATCAAGTAGCAATTGTTAGGGGCCCATTAAAGACCACATCAAGATTTTGGATGGGCCGTATCTTCAGGTTAGTTCAGCAACCATTTGACATTATAACAGATGCTGAAGAGGGGACTCATGACACTATTTTAATGTTCAAATTCTACCTCTCCCACAGTCACATAATTGCATTTTGGACACTCGGCAACTAGCCTGCATTTAGTTATGGTGTTCGGGAAAAACTGGCCCACAGAAAACAGGGTTTGCTTAATGACTGCTGCGAAAAAAGGACATCAGATCAGGTCCAGTCACATGATTATATTGCTTTATGACTGTCATTACATATAATGGTAATTGCAGGCTCTATTACTTTTAGAACTCTAGGACTATCTATGGCTAGGAGATTGTACAACAATTATCTGTGCAAATTGAGCATAGAATTAACTTCTAGAATCATATGAAGTTGATAAGCTTGATGGAAAAAAAATATTCTGTGTTCTGCCATTCCCTCCGTTATATTATGTCCTGTAGCTTCAGTTACCCATGTTCTTCCTACTGTTACATTTCAAGCTAAGAAAGACAACAATCTCCTTAGGTAATCTGTTCTACTGTCAGACAGTTCTTATCACCAAGAACTTTCTTTTAGCATCTAGTAGTCAAACCTGGCTGGGCACCTACAGAATTAATTCAAGGTCATATAAGCCATAGATAATTCAGCCCTACATACATTGCCGGACCTAATCTAGGCATTCAAGCTACACCAAAATAGAAAATGATTCCAGCTAAAGAAATGCTATTTTCACTGCTGAGGGGTTAATATCAATAGTGAATTTAGTGTCATATGGTCAACAAATCTGCAGTTTCTCTACTCAGGCTTGAAATCTGCCGTGTTAACTTCTTTACCATTTGTTTATTTGCATTCTTTATATCATGAGCATCAGCCAAAAATTTCTATTTCTATGCACTGTGGTCAACTTGTTGCAGCATACATCTTCAAATTTCAGAAGTCAAAAAAGTCAGATTGCAATTTACAATCCCCTTCGTTTTCCCAGACACAATGATTCAAAACAAGAAATATTTATTCAAATTATTTTTCTCCCTTCACAAAGTATTTCTGTTTCACTGGCCCAGTAATTAAATGTTTAACTCAAAAACACACTCCCCTTGTAATGAGTGTTTTTACCTTGTTCTATTAGCATCCTAAACAGCCCATGACAGGTTGGGTTATTGTTTCAGAGATATATCCTTAGGAGATGCCTGAATATCTTCACCAATGACAGACCTAATATTTTCAAAAAGTTCTTTAAAATCCAGGGGGAATATTCAGAGTTGCATCTGCCTTGAAAGTAGCCCAGTCAAACATCAACAAGAGGAAAGATTTTTATGACATTTTGCATTATGTCCTAAAATGCTTTATGATCATTTTTAGGTCTTAAAATGTTTGGATTTTTTTAATTTCCAAATTTCAGTTTCACAAGAGTCACCAGTCCCAGATTTTGGACACAAGATTCTAGAACTTAGCCCATTTGAGATACCTTGGTTGAAAAAGTTTTACTGTATGATGTATCACTTCACCCAGTTAAAGGTTACAGAAGGAGAGTTTTATGGTATATAGACACAGATAGTCCTTGACTTACAACCATTCATTTAGTGACCATTCAAAATTACAAGTGTCAACTATTCCTTGCACTTATGACGATCACCGCATTCCCATGATCATGAGATGTAAATTTGGGGGCTTGACAGCCAGCATACATTTATGATGGTTACAGCATCCTGGAGTCATGGGGTCACCATTTGTGACCTTCCCAGCTGGCTTCTGACAAGCAAAATCAGTGGGGAAGCCATATTTGCTTAACAACCACATGGGTTCACTTAATACAGTGATTCACTTAACAACCATGGAAAAAAGGTAATAAAATTCAATGTGACTCACTTAACAATCACTTTGCTTAGCAACCAAAATTCTGGTCACTGTTTTGGTTGTAATTCGAGAAAAAACCTGTAATACACACTCTTTTCCTGGTTATTATATAAGACAGAGTACGGTATATGCCTCGGTTTTTATTTCTATTTAATTTCTTTTTTCTATTGTGTTTCAACTGTCTTAATTGCTTTTATGAATCACCATTCAGAGTCAATGGTTTCAGATAGGCAGCTATACAAACTGAACGAATGAATAAATATAGGGGACTGCAAAAAAACAAATGCTGCTATGACTTTAAAAAGAAGACAGATAGCTTCTTAAGGGATGTCACCACATTTTAGTTTGTTCCTAAAATTGTAGGCATTTTATTATGATTTCAGAATATACCTAATAATCTATTAAGTCCTCTCAGCATCAAGAAGATTAAAAAGGTGCAGTCTGTAAAAACAGTTTGCTTCTCATTTTAGTAAAGTACTATCACACATTATTTTTGGTATATATGATTTTTGGGGTGCAGATTTAACTCATGAATGAAAACATTTCAGCTATCTCTGGAAAAACACTTACCTGTATCAGGGAAGACATAACCAGTATTGAGTGTTCTCAATAGCAGACTCAAAATTGTTGCCAAATAATGTGTGAGATGATCCCCCCCAAAATGCATATTTTGGAAAGGGGTGAACTCATGATCAGATAGGTAGATCTTTCAATTTATAGCTTTATCTTTCCCTGTTGATCCTTTGCTTTAAACCAATATTTCTTCTTTAGCTACTTCCAGATGTGTCGACTTCAACTCCCAGAATTCTCCAGCCAGTGTTGCTGCCTGGAGAATTTTGGGAGTTGAATTCCACTCATCTGAAAGCTGCTGAGATTGAGAAGCACTGCTCTAAACACAGAGACATAATCTGTATAACTATACTTACTGAGCCATATAGATGTCCTTCAGAATCCATGCAAAGAAATCTAGAGGTTTTCTTGGCCATGATACGAATAATTCCCAGTTTCACTGCTTTGATTTCCATCAAACCTGGGGGGAAAATAGAAAATAGCTCGTGAAAAAGGAGAACTCTTTAGAATGGTTCTAACTGAAATAGCCTTCAACCTCTTCAGATCTTTTAGTAGTCTTGATCTGTAACATCTGTAAAATGTAACATAATCTGTTGGAGGCCACCATAGCACCTTCTACGGTTCCCATTTCTCCTACTTGATTTACTCTGAAAGTTTAATATCATCTGCAACGAAGGACCAAGTTAACATTTGTTTTCCAGAGTTTTCCAGATGACACATGTGTTAAGAAGCTACATGTTCTGAAATGCCTTCTTCTGAAAAACCGTATTTCATGATCTACTACCTGATCCTTCCCCAAAGAACCCAGGTGACTGTGCCCCAATTCCACATATAACTCCAGAAAAATTCATTGGGAGGAATCCCGAGTAATTTGTTTCCCAAATACTCACTGAAGGGGTTCTGGTATTTGGAGCCACGCACTGTGCCATCTGAGAAGATCTCCAGGTGGAGGTGGATCTGTTCATTGGCCGTGTAGAGATGGCGAAGCCGGACTTGCCCATCAAACTGGTACAGAGGATTGGAATTTGGCACTGGAGAGGCCACAATCCTGGGGACCAACATAGCGCAGAAAAGCAGGTAAAGGGGAAGCAGGAAATAACGGCTGCATTGGAGAACTGAAATGGATAGCATGGCTCAAGGATGACCGATCCAGGCAAGACGTAGTTCTGGGATGGCAAAGATAGTCTTGCCGTCAGAAGAAATTCAAGGAGCAACTCAAGGTTTGAAGTCTTAGCCTAGTTTTTCCAGTCACTGGATTCTACTGTTTTTTTGGGGAGAAACTATAGAGAATTCTGCATTCCTGTCCTTCCAACTTAAACTTATTGATCTCACCCAGGAATTATGTCCAGAATTCACAAAGAAATGCAGTCCAGGACTTCTGAAGGTTGTTATTCTGGGGATGGGATCTGGGGAGTCTAGTAAACTTCCAGTCAACCAATCAATGGGAATAGTCAGAATAAGGAGAGTATCTTCCTTCTTGCTCTATCTTATGCCAAGTTTGCTCCAAATCAGCAAACTCACCAATATATATATACACATGCCTGTGTTCTCTACAACGGAGGTAAACGACCTTCCCCTTGACTTTTGCCTTGCCTACAACTCTCCGCCCACTTCCATTTCCCCACACACTCACCAGGTCCCCCAAGGGTGAGTCACGGGGTGTCGCTTGCTCCTACTGCTCCTAACATGGGGTCACGAGGATGCCAAAGTCTAAATATTATCATTCTGCAGCTGCTTTCAAGCTACCGACAGGAAAGGATGATGTAACTTAGGGAATACAAGAATGAGAAAATGATGGCCAGAAGGAGGGGGAGAGAAGAAAGGGGAGGGAGATTATAGAAAGGCTAGGATTGCCTCAGCATCCTGGAACCACTCTCTGACTTATCCAACCTGTCCTGTGTATCTATTAATCTTTTTAAATATGTGCGTCTCTTGACCATTTATGCGCTGGACTCAAGCAATTGTCCACTGTAGGCTCAACAATACAGTCATGCTCTTTATCTGTGTAACTCTCACAGCCCTTATCCTGCAGAGACAGATCATGTGCTTCAGATGCCAAAGACCCCTGGTTCAGTTCCTGAACAGCCAGAGATTGAGCAGAGCACTGGGAAGCAATAGCACTTATATACTTAGCACTTAGGCCCAGCAAACTCTGGGAAGCAATAGCACTTATATACCACTTCATAGGGTTTTACAGCCCTTTCTAAGCGGTTTACAGAGTCAGCATATTGCCCCCAACAATCTGGATCCTCATTTTATTGACCTCGAAAGGATGAGTCAACCCTGAGCTGATCAGGATTGAACTCCTGGCAGTGGGCAGAGTCAGCCTGCAATATGGCATCCTAACCACTGTGCCACCACAGCTCCACCTAGAGAAGCCATTATCAATTATTGTAGACAATTGTAAGTAGATCAGAATTTACTGGTGCATTTCAAGCTGTTGATCATTTAGGGGCTCTGATCTGTAGACTGTGTCCCCACTTGAAGCTAAGCTTGCTATAAAGAGCTCCTGAGAAATGAAAAAACAATGAAGTGGCTTCAGATATTTATCACAGCAATTATAAGTACAAATATAATTTAACCTCTCGCTCTAAAATTACATCATCTTACTCGTCTTTCTATAATATATCCTATCTAATCATCCAAACCATAAACAACATTTTTTTTCATTTTTACCAAAAAAGTCCATAACAGACTTCCAATCACCAATAAATATAGATCATGTTTTTTCTCTAATCAAAGAAGTCATTTTATCCATTTCAGCAAAATCTATCAACTGAATAATTTTGTAGTTGTTGCAATACAAAATATATTATAACATGTATTCCAACAAGTAGTCATGCTCTCATCCCTTCCCTGAAATTCTGCAATCTGGTGGGCCACAGAAGTGGGCCTTTTCCCTGCTGCCTCTACCTTATTGGAACACTCTCTGCCTGGTGATTTTGCAGACTCCCAATCTTTTAGCTTTTAGGCCTGGCTTGAGGAGGAGATGAAGGCAACAATCCTCAAAATTGCAGGCTCCTCAGAAACACAAAAATGGATAATTAGTTATTTTCCTCCTAACTGGGAGAATAATCCTATCTGCAAGCTATACTGAATTTTTAAAGATCTCTAGATAGTTAGCATCAGAGAGGTCTCTGTCAGATAAAGAATGTTTATTTTTATATGCGGAACCCGTGGCCTACTTACGCTTTGCATTTTCTTCAAATTAAAAAAACAGCTAATGTTTTCTTAAGAAATACTGTATAGCTATGCCAATGAGCCTACGCAAGCTGTAAATGTAATGGAAATAGAATTACAAAGGAGTGGAATAGTTTCATGGCTGTGATTGATATTTCCTAGAAATTAGTAAAGGGTTAGAGCTGTATACAACGAGTATTACTAAATCTGTAAAAGCAAAAGTGTGTATGTGTGTGTGCGTGTGATGCACAAAATAGAAAGGTGAAAATGCAGTTCTTCTTAAAGTTTATTTATACCGTATATGCCGCCGTATTAGGCAACCCGGCGTATAAGACGACCCCCGTCTTTATAGCCGGGCCACATTCCTAGAACGTCATCTTATACGCCGGAAACTACCAGTATTTCCGGCGTATAAGACGACTCAGCGTATAAGACGACCCCCGTCTTTGGCGCCGATTTCAGCGCTCGCGGAAGCCGTCTTATACGCCGGCATTTACGGTACTTCTCAGTTGTACATGCATAATAAAAAAAGGGGAAAGATCGAGGAATCTTTCAGGATTGGACCCTTGAGAGATCAGGATTGGCCCCTTGAGAGATCCCTGTTCTGCTACTGTCCTTATTTACAGTGTAATGTTAAGGACCGGGATTGGTTCTATTTTTTTCCCCTCCATTGACAGCCAGTGGGAAAACATCAACCAATCACTGACGAGAGGTGGAGCCTGAGAAAGAAGCAGGTTTTTACAAATGGCTAGAGGAGTAGGCCTAGCCACCTATTAAAACTTGCTCTACCTAGCTTGGAATAGTGGTTAAGGGCGGTAGGTAGAAACCAGGAGTTGGGTGAGTTGGGTGATCAGCTGGGCAACCATAGGCCAGTTATTCTCTCTCAACCCTAGGAAGTAGGCAAGGGCAAACCATGTCCAAAATCTTGCCAAGAAAACCAGAAAAACCTATTCAGAGAGCCACCAAAGGATGTAAAGGAGCACCCATATCCGTGCACTCGCGCGCGCGCACACACACATACACATACACACACACACACACACACACACACACACACGTATGGCATGAATATTTCATATACCTATTTCAAAGAGACCCCCAACTCTTGTGGAAAACGAAAGGACTCTTACAATTCCAGAGGGTTTTAGCAGAGAGATTTATTGCGCAGGTTCAGAAGCAATAGCAACAAGCCATTCTGAACCCCGAGGACGGGTTCAGACTTCAGTTTTATACTTTCCTTTTCTCAGGAACAAAGGAATACAGATTGAAATACACATTATAATACATTAGGTTTGTTTCTCACGGGTATACAATGGAGAGTTTGTTACATACATTGTATCCAAGTGCAATGCACATTAGGTTAGTCACATACTACTAACACAGCATTATTCCAGTAATTATGCAGACACATCATTATTCTAGTGATTGTTCATTATTCCACATTATAACTATTCCAGAACTGAGCCCAAAATTTCTGTTGCTAATTGAGACAGTTGTGAAGTGAGTGTTGCCTCATTTTGCAAGCTTTCTTGCCACACTTGTTAAGCAAATTATTGCAATGGCTAAGTTAATAACACATTGGTAAAGTGAATCGGGCTTCCCCTTTGACTTTGCTTGTCAAAGGGTATGCAAAAGGTGATCACCTGACACCCCCTCAGGATACTGCAACAGTCGTAAATACATGCCAGTTTCCAAGCATCCGAATTTTGATCACATGACCATAGGGAGGCTGCAACGGTTGTAAGTATGAAAAACAGTGATAAGTCACTGTGGGAAGTCAGCCCCCCCCCCAGAGAAGGAAATATTAAAAGGGCAGAATATTATATTTCCTCAAAAGATTTTAAAGAGGCAGAAAAGCATGCCCAGTTTTTCTTAATAGCCCCAAGTCTCTCTCCCCCAAGCAGAAACCAGCTCTGTAGAAATGCAGATGTAAACCATTCAGGAAGGTTGAAGCTAGAAGATTAAGAAGACAAAGACACCTAAAATCTGCATACCCACCCAAACTCTAAGGCAGGACATAATAGGATTAACCCATAGATGCCAAAGGGGCACACTCAGACTCCGGTCAAAACACATGATACATGAAATACAAAGCCTCAAACAGGAACAGGAAACAATCTCAAGAGCCCCAGGTTTTTTATAAAAACCCACTCCCTACATGTGCTCTCTCTCTTTTCTTCTAGAGCCATCTTTCTGTCTGGCTCTCCTCTTCAATAAACTGCAATCTTCCTTCTAAAGCAGTCGCCATGTTGTTTATTCCCAGCTTGGACTGAACCATGATGAAGACTTTTCCTTCAACATCACTTTTTTCAGTGTCGTTGTAACTTCAAACGATCACTAAACAAATGGTTTTAAGATGAGAAATGCCTCTGCTTCTAAACAGTGCCCCAAAACTCTCCCCTTTAAATAGACCCACTTCAAACCACTTGAGTCAAACCAGAGCTGAACATAGGGCTGTTTCTGGGCTACCAGAGGGCCATTCCCACCATTTGGGGTGATGCATTTGGATTGTTATATTCCCATTATTAAGTCACAGTAAGTAAGAGGCCGATGGGAGTAGAATTTCTTTCCCGCAATGCTCAGAAAGTTGGAATTATACAAGGTTGGCATTGATACAATATTATCCAGGAATGGCACTCCCAGCAGCAGAGATAGCCTTTTATTACGTTTCCAAGAAATAATTCTCATTTAGCATAAGTTCTGCAGCCTTTAATTAATCTTTCTATAAGAATGATGGGGAAGTTGGGAAATAATTATACTTTGGGAGGTGGGGGAGGACAGGTAGAGAGAGATTTCCTTTGGGGTTTTCTTTCCTTGAGAAAAAAAATAATGAAGAGAAGCCAATCATTAGATGTTGGTACAAAAATCTGCTGGCAACAAGTTGCTTAAATTCTCCCCTAAAGACAACTAATGTTAGCATCCTCCTTTTTTGCCTCCCCTGCATTAGATCT